GAGAGACGAAGAGGGACAATATATCATACTTAAAGGATCTATCCAGCAAGAGGACTTAACAATCCTCAATATATATGCCCCGAATGTGGGAGCTGCCAAATACTTAAACGAATTATTAACCAAAGTGAAGAAATACTTAGATAATAATACACTTATACTTGGTGACTTCAATCTAGCTCTTTCTACCCTCGACAGGTCTTCTAAGCACAACATCTCCAAAGAAACGAGAGCTTTAAATGATACACTGGACCAGATAGATTTCACAGATATGTACAGAACTTTACATCCAAACTCAACTGAATACACATTCTTCTCAAGTGCACATGGAACTTTCTCCAGAATAGACCACATACTGGGTCACAAATCGGGTCTGAACCGATACCAAAAGATTGGGATCGTCCCCTGCATATTCTCAGATCATAGCGCCTTGAAATTAGAACTCAATCACAAGAAGAAGTTTGGAAGGACCTCAAACACGTGGAGGTTAAGGACCATCCTGCTAAAAGATAAAAGGGTCAACCAGGAAATTAAGGAAGAATTAAAAAGATTCATGGAAACTAATGAGAATGAAGATACAACTGTTCAAAATCTTTGGGATGCAGCAAAAGCAGTCCTGAGGGGGAAATACATCGCAATACAAGCATCCATTCAAAAACTGGAAAGAGCTCAAATACAAAAGCTAACCTTACACATAAAGGAGCTAGAGAAGAAGCAGCAAATCGACCCGACGCCCAGCAGAAGAAGAGAGTTAATTAAAATTCGAGCAGAACTCAACGAAATTGAGACCAGAAGAACTGTGGAACAGATCAATAGAACCAGGAGTTGGTTCTTTGAAAGAATTAATAAGATAGATAAACCATTAGCCAACCTTATTAAAAAGAAGAGAGAGAAGACTCAAATTAATAAAATCATGAATGAGAAAGGAGAGATCACTACCAACACCAAGGAAATACAAACGATTTTAAAAACATATTATGAACAGCTCTACGCCAATAAATTAGGCAATCTAGAAGAAATGGACGCATTCCTGGAAAGCCACAAACTACCAAAACTGGAGCAGGAAGAAATAGAAAACCTGAACAGGCCAATAACCAGGGAGGAAATTGAAGAAGTCATCAAAAACCTCCCAAGACACAAGAGTCCAGGGCCAGATGGCTTCCCAGGGGAATTCTATCAAACGTTTAAAGAAGAAATCATACCTATTCTACTAAAGCTGTTTGGAAAGATAGAAAGAGATGGAGTACTTCCAAATTCATTCTATGAGGCCAGCATCACCTTAATTCCAAAACCAGACAAAGACCCCACCAAAAAGGAGAATTACAGACCAATATCCCTGATGAACATGGATGCAAAAATTCTCAACAAGATACTAGCCAATAGGATCCAACAACACATTAAGAAAATTATTCACCATGACCAAGTAGGATTTATCCCCGGGACACAAGGCTGGTTCAACACTCGTAAAACAATCAATGTGATTCATCATATCAGCAAGAGAAAAACCAAGAACCATATGATCCTCTCATTAGATGCAGAGAAAGCATTTGACAAAATACAGCATCCATTCCTGATCAAAACTCTTCAGAGTGTAGGGATAGAGGGAACTTTCCTCGACATCTTAAAAGCCATCTACGAAAAGCCCACAGCAAATATCATTCTCAATGGGGAAGCACTGGGAGCCTTTCCCCTAAGATCAGGAACAAGACAGGGATGTCCACTCTCACCACTGCTATTCAACATAGTATTGGAAGTCCTAGCCTCAGCAATCAGACAACAAAAAGACATTAAAGGCATTCAAATTGGCAAAGAAGAAGTCAAACTCTCCCTCTTCGCCGATGACATGATACTCTACATAGAAAACCCAAAAGCCTCCACCCCAAGATTGCTAGAACTCATACAGCAATTTGGTAGCATGGCAGGATACAAAATCAATGCCCAGAAATCAATGGCATTCCTATACACTAACAATGAGACTGAAGAAAGAGAAATTAAGGAGTCAATCCCATTTACAATTGCACCCAAAAGCATAAGATACCTAGGAATAAACCTAACCAAAGAGGTAAAGGATCTATACCCTAAAAACTATAGAACACTTCTGAAAGAAATTGAGGAAGACACAAAGAGATGGAAAAATATTCCATGCTCATGGATTGGCAGAATTAATATTGTGAAAATGTCAATGTTACCCAGGGCAATTTACACGTTCAATGCAATCCCTATCAAAATACCATGGACTTTCTTCAGAGACTTAGAACAAATTATTTTAAGATTTGTGTGGAATCAGAAAAGACCCCGAATAGCCAGGGGAATTTTAAAAAAGAAAACCATATCTGGGGGCATCACAATGCCAGATTTCAGGTTGTACTACAAAGCTGTGGTCATCAAGACAGTGTGGTACTGGCACAAAAACAGACACATAGATCAATGGAACAGAATAGAGAACCCAGAAGTGGACCCTGAACTTTATGGTCAACTAATATTCGATAAAGGAGGAAAGACGATCCACTGGAAGAAAGACAGTCTCTTCAATAAATGGTGCTGGGAAAATTGGACATCCACATGCAGAAGAATGAAACTAGACCACTCTCTTGTACCATACACAAAGATAAACTCAAAATGGATGAAAGATCTAAATGTGAGACAAGATTCCATCAAAATCCTAGAGGAGAACACAGGCAACACCCTTTTTGAACTTGGCCACAGTAACTTCTTGCAAGATACATCCACGAAAGCAAAAGAAACAAAAGCAAAAATGAACTATTGGGACTTCATCAAGATAAGAAGCTTTTGCACAGCAAAGGATACAGTCAACAAAACTCAAAGACAACCTACAGAATGGGAGAAGATATTTGCAAATAACATATCAGATAAAGGGCTAGTTTCCAAAATCTATAAAGAACTTATTAAACTCAACAGCAAAGAAACAAACAATCCAATCATGAAATGGGCAAAAGACATGAAGAGAAATCTCACAGAGGAAGACATAGACATGGCCAACATGCACATGAGAAAATGCTCTGCATCACTTGCCATCAGGGAAATACAAATCAAAACCACAATGAGATACCACCTCACACCAGTGAGAATGGGGAAAATTAACAAGGCAGGAAACAACAAATGTTGGAGAGGATGCGGAGAAAAGGGAACCCTCTTACACTGTTGGTGGGAATGTGAACTGGTGCAGCCACTCTGGAAAACTGTGTGGAGGTTCCTCAAAGAGTTAAAAATAGACCTGCCCTACGACCCAGCAATTGCACTGTTAGGGATTTACCCCAAAGATTCAGATGCAATGAAACGCCGGGACACCTGCACCTCGATGTTTCTAGCAGCCATGTCCACAATAGCCAAACTGTGGAAGGAGCCTCGGTGCCCATCGAAAGATGAATGGATAAAGAAGATGTGGTTTATGTATACAATGGAATATTACTCAGCCATTAGAAACGACAAATACCCAACATTTGCTTCAACGTGGGTGGAACTGGAGGGTATTATGCTGAGTGAAGTAAGTCAATCGGAGATGGACAAACAGTGTATGTTCTCATTCATTTGGGGAATATGAATAATAGTGAAAGGGAATATAAGGGAAGGGAGAAGAAATGTGTGGGAAATATCAGAAAGGGAGACAGAACATGAAGACTTCTAACTCTGGGAAATGAACTAGGGGTGGTGGAGGGGGAGGAGGGCGGGGGGTGGGGGTAAATGGGTGACGGGCACTGAGGGGGACACTTGATGGGATGAGCACTGGGTGTTATTCTGTATGTTGGTAAATTGAACACCAATAAAAATTAATTTATTAAAAAAAATAGAAACAAGTCTAGCGCTCACCAGAAGGGATGCGAGAAATACAATGCTCAAATGTTTCTGTGTTCTTAAAATATAGAGCGATCTTAGGCATTCAAGCTGTGTGAACTGCTCTTGGAAAGTGGAGAAATGGTTGGGAACACCAGCGCCCGGTGTGCGGGGCACCGTGTATGCATGTGTGCACAGAAATTCGGGATGTCAGAGGAGCAGCACGTCTTCAGGCGCGCCCTGGAGTTAGGTCTGACTCTGGAATATACTGGAGTTTCCCTGAAACTCTTTGGTCCGTTCCCATTGGCGCCTGGGCTTATGAAACCCGTGCATGTCCTTCTCTGGAGGGCCCGGTATGGCCCGGAATACGGCCCCCCTCTCCGGTGGCGGCCCCCCTGTTGGATGGCCTGCTGCCACTGCCAGGAGCGCTGCAGAGCCCTGGGGCTGAGTGAGCGGGAGGTGGCAATGGCACCTGCTTGGGAAAGCAATTTCCTGTCAACCAAAGCAGAAATCGCTTAAAATGTTGAAGCGGTTGAGAAAACGCACACTCAGCATCTGTCTAACGTCTTTAGTTTGAAAACTAAAACTAAAAGGTCATGTCTTTTTTTTATGTTTTTTAACCAGTTTGTGGAGACACCGAATGAAATGAGTGTTAGACAGTCTTAGAAGTTAAAGCATGCTTCAGGTTCACCACCGTCCCGAGGGACTGGTTAGTCAATGCAGTCTACTTAGATTTCTGTTTAATATATATTTTAAAGGAAATAACTTAAGAAACTTAAATTGGTCTAACATTGTGGGATTTCAAACATTTGAACATGTTGGTTGCATCCCCGAGTATAAAAACCTTTTCACTTCTCATGTAGACTAAGACAAACACTTGTGAAAATTGGCGCAAAATGCGTTGTACACTATCAAAAAGGTTTCAACTTCTTCAATCTTAATTATCTATTCTGTAGGAAAAAAAAAAAAAAGCATGAGTGTCGCGGCCGGCGCGAGAAGGTCCGGATTCAGGGACCGAGGGCAAGGGGATGAGAAAGAAACAAGAGACTAAAAGTTCATGGGATAGGAGGTTCCATGCAGCTGATGGCCACAATGGACAAGCTTTATTTTTGCATGTAGAGTTTATATAGCGTCCGTAAGCAGGCGGCCTATTTCTTTAAGGAGAAGTACATCTCGCGAACAAACATGCATTGTTTTTAAAACTAACACCTGCTACTTGTTTAAGCAATAGAGCAGGAATGCCACATTTAGACTAAACAGTGAGGTTTGTTTATTAAGTAATGACTGCCAAGGCGGTCATGTGTCAGGCCACCTCCTTGCTTACTTTATGGGAACTTGTCTCGATGACATTTTAAAGGAGAAGCAAATATGTACTTTTACTTCCATAAGGAGGAAGAATTAGGTGCAGTCCCAGCGGGTTGGCCAGGTATGACAAGGAGCCTTTGCTCAACCTGGAACCTTGCCTCGCACCGCGGGACCGCTCCCAACATCTCCCCCTATATTTTTCAAATGCAGCAAGTGAAGTTGTGCCTTAGAGGAATTTAATTGATTATTGAATTTTTTGCAAGAGCAGGCAAACATTACATACATCAGAATTAACCCGATTATTAATGCCAAAAATATCCAAAAGGAATATTTCAGTGAATTGAAGGGATTAAAGCCATTTAACTGATTTAAGATCTCACCGGCTAAATCGCCGGGGTCTTCATAATGTAACATACTTTGACTAATGGCGTCTATTTCTTGTTGTAATTTTAAGAGATCCAGACTAATATTAGCATGATTCCAAACCCCTTGTAAATGCATACGTACATTTTCCCATGATCCATTAAAAGGCAGTGGGGTAACACAAATATGTTTATAAGCATCATGGCAAGTCAATTGGGTTATAGTTTTTAATACAACAAATTGATCACCAAGATATAAAACGGCTTCTTTTAAAGCTTCAATCTGCGCTTCAATTTTTTCATCAATTCTCTTTTGAGCATCAAGAGCAATAGTTACATTTCTAGCAAGTTCATTTACATGTTCAGCGGTCTGAGCATTTTCATGCAAAGATACAACAGATACAGTAGCAGAGGCAATAAGAGCAATAGTAGCCACTATCCCTGCAATTAAAAGTCCAAGAAATCTTCGAGTTCTTCTTAGCTTTTTCACCAATTCTTGAGCTAACTGCATACCAAAGTTCGCGTACCAAGGTCCTCTCACGTCAACAGGGATCATCCAATATGGAGGTTGTTGCACCAGGAATAACTTTGTGTTGAAATCAATCTTCTTATCAAACTTGTGGCTCGTGAGGTTAACTTCTTTATTTGTCCCCATGATGGCAAATCTGTTTTAGGAGTCCTCTTCCTCCGAGGAGGGCATAAGTTCAGCCGACTCATCTTCCTTCTCAGTTTTGATATCTCTAACAAATTTGGCTGGAACCCAGCGTGGCGCTTCCTCATCCTGTGGGAAGATACAAGCATATCCTCGACCCTGTCTAAGCAAGGGGTCAGGGCCTTTCCACTGTCCTGTCATAGGATCCTTCCACTTTGCCATAAGGGGTGGATCAGTATTTTTTCCCAATGTTTTTCTGATGGTGTATATCCATCATCATGCACAATCAAAAATTTAAAATGAATATTGCTAAGTCTAGGTGCATGTGGGGGGAATATTTCATTTTTCCTGCCATAATCTCCCCCTTTTTTAGTTTTTGTAAGGTATTTTTAAGTGTAAGATGAGCTCTTTCAATAATAGCTTGACCTGTAGAGTTGTAAGGGATGCCTGTGGTATGCTGGATGTGAAATGTTTCACAAAAGGTTTTAAAAGCTTGGGATATATAAGCACTCCCATTATCAGTCTTTAATCGTTTAGGCATTCCCATGTAAGCAAAAGCGTGAAAAAGGTGATTTTGAACATCAGTAAAACTTTCACCAGAATGAGCGGAAGCTACGATCATGCCAGAATAAGTATCAATAGAAACATGCACAAATTGTAATTTATTAAAAGATGAATAATGTGTTACATCCATTTGCCAGAGATCATTGGGCAAAAGGCCTCGCGGATTAATGGCAAAGGAAGGGGTGTTAACATATTGGGGACATAGGGAGCAATTTTTAACAATTTGCCTAGCTTGTTCTCTAGTTATATGGAATTGCTTTCGTAGGGATCGAGCGTTTTGGTGGAAAAGAGAGTGACTTTTCATTGCCATACCGACAGAATCCTTATTAGCAATGACAGAATATAAATGAGTATATCTGTCAGCCAAGTCATTTCCCGAGGATAAAGGCCCAGGTAAACCAGAATGTGCTCTAATATGAGAAACAAATATAGGTGAAACTCTTTTTAAGAGCAGCTGCTGTAATTTATGAAAAAGGCATGAAAGTTCCTCATCATTAGAGTTTATGAAAGAATCAGCAAGGATGGGTAATATCCTGGCGACATATTGACTATCTGAATAGAGATTAAAGGGTTCTTGATAGATTTCAAGAGTTTTCATGACAGCATAAAGTTCAGCCCTCTGGACAGATTTTGTCTTATAGGACAACTGAATGACATTTTTATGTTGTTTATGCAGATAGACAATGGCAATGTGCCCGTCTTTGCTGGCGTCCGAAAATATGATGGGAGCGTCTCTAATCGGTTGACTCGAAATTGGAGAGACAAATATAGTAGGAATGATGGAGAGTCCCTGAAGGAGTTTGTCATTGGGAAGATGAAAAAGAAATTGACCAGGAAAATTTGCCATAGATGTTTGCCATTCCAGGGAGGTTTGATATGCATCCTCTACCACTGAGGCGGTTAAAAGAGGACATACAATACTATGAGGCTCATGTCCAAATAATTGGATGCATCTCTTCCGTCCCCTAGCAATTAATAAAGATATAAGGGAAATCGTCGGGTTGATGACATGCAAAACATGCATAGCTAAATGGAGCCATTCCAAAGGCCCATGGGTTTGCCACAACACTGCCATAGGGAGAGCATCAGGTTTTAAGATTATTAAGTTAACATTCTTTGTCAAATCTCTTTGTTGGAGCTGCGCAGAGGAAATTTTATTTGCTACTAAAGCCAAGGCATCCTCTGCTTCTGGAGTAAGCTGTCTCAAAGATGAAGGGGAGGAGTCCCCTTTTAAAATAGAAAAAAGGGGGATCCCTAGGTGGCGCAGCGGTTTGGCGCCTGCCTTTGGCCCAGGGCGCGATCCTGGAGACCCGGGATCAAGTCCCACGTCGGGCTCCTGGTGCATGGAGCCTGCTTCTCCCTCTGCCTGTGTCTCTGCCTCTCTCTCTGTCTGTTGACTATCGTAAATAAATTTAAAAAATTTTTAAAAATTTAAAAAAAAATTAAAATAGAAAAAAGGGGCTGTAACTGAGAAGTGGTGAGAGACAGCGAAGGACGGAGCCAATTTATATCACCTAATAATTTTTGGAAGTCATTTAAAGTTTTTAATTGCGAGGTTCTAACTGCGATTTTCTGTGGCCTAATACTCTGTTTACTAATAAGATATCCTAAATACTCAAAGGGAGCTTCTCTCTGTACCTTCTCAGGAGCTATTTGAAGTCCAGCAGAGCTAAGGCATTGGGAAAGAACCTGAAAGGCATTAGCCAGGTGTTCACTGGTCTCTGCTGCCAGTAATAGGTCATCCATATAATGAATACAATATACCTCAGGGAATTGTTTCCTGAAAGGGGATTCCCGTTAGAATCAGTTTTTGAACTACATTTATTAGCCCAATGATATCCTCTGTGGCATCTAGGGCAAAGGTTTTGAGGTTTTTTTGTAGTTTGTGAAGTCTTTTTCTGAGGGCATTGATTTTTAAAATGCCCAATTGGCCACTTAAGAAGCATTTTTTATTTATTTTCATGTTTGGGTTCTTATTTTGTTTTAGTATCTGAGCATGCAATTTTGCAGGAGGGATGCCTTTAATAGCAGCAGCCAAGGTGACTCCTTGCAAATACGAAGGGCCCTATATCTGCCCAAAGGTGCACATAATCTTCAAGAGGTCCCTGATTCTTCCAAGGTCTTATGGCTGCTTGACAGGCGACATTAGCATTCTCATAGGCCAATTACTTAACTCTTAAAGTGCCAGCTTCCGCATCGGTGACTATTCTACTGACTGTGGTTAACAATCTGGCCACAAAATCAGAATAATTTTCCTCGGGACCTTGCCTGATTTTTGACAGTTCCTGTGACCTTGTATTTGTGGCAGGTAGCTTTTTCCATGCTGACAGAGAACAACTATTAATTTAGGTATAAGCTACTTCAGGAAAATTCAATTGCAAGCCTACGTCATAATACGGACCAGAACCAGTTAACATGTTGTAATCAACAGGAATGTTAGTTCCCCTATTGTAGCTGGCCTGTTTTTCGGCATTTTCAGAGAATTGTGTTTTCCATAACAAATTGTTCCCCGGGGAGAGGCATGCTTGTGCAATGACCCTCCAATCTCCAGGACATAATGCATCTCGCGTCAAATTATCTAACATAGATAGAGTAAAGGGTGCTGTAGGGCCATACTGAGTACCTGCTTGTTTCAAATCCTTTAGTACTTTAAAGCTTAAGGCAGTGTATGCTCTTAGTCCCCCCTGCACAGTAACAGGAAATAACTGAAACTCAGATACATCTTCTCCCCTCTGTGAGGCTTGAAATAGAGTTCTTTGTAATGGAGTAACTCCTTTTATTGGGTAAGAATCGTCTGATTGAACAGGAAAAAGGCTTCGAGGAGCCTTCTCAGTTTGCACAGTGGAGGAGTGTAATAAAGGTGGGGGAGGAGGTTCAGCATGATTTAAAACAAAAACCTCTTCCCTTCTATCTCCAAGGTAGGGACCATCAAACGGATCCTTTTTCATCATCTCAGGGATAGTTTATGTAAAGCGGGGGTATGGATTTTTTTATTTTTTAAGCTCCCCCCCCATCGAGGGTGGTGACTCTTTTTCACTTTTAGAGTTCAAGGAGATGATCTCAATAGAGTCTGTAGGATCCAGAACCTCCTTTATACAATTCCATGTAGTCCATATATCAGGAGGCAGTTGTTCCCCTCTTATTTTTAATTCATTTTTTAGAGTCTGTCCAACTCTCTGCCAATCCAAAAGATCCACCAATCCCTGATCAGGAAACCAGGGGCATATTATTCTAACTGTATCAAAGAACTTATCCAAAGAATTATGAGAAACCTTAAACCCCTTCTCCCTTAAAAGAGCCTGTAGAACTTTTAAAAAATACCCATGTTCTACAGATTGCCTTTGTCCCATGATTATTTTACTCCTATCGTTCACGGAGCCGCCGTGATCCCCTTACCTGTAACATAAACACTTCTTCTTTCCCTCTGTCTCGGGTCCCTGTTCGGGCGCCACTTGTCGCGGCCGGCGCGAGAAGGTCTGGATTCAGGGACCGAGGGCAAGGGGATGAGAAAGAAACAAGAGACTAAAAGTTCATGGGATAGGAGGTTCCATGCAGCTGATGGCCACAATGGACAAGCTTTATTTTTGCATGTAGAGTTTATATAGCCTCCGTAAGCAGGCGGCCTATATCTCTAAGGAGAAGTACGTCTCGCGCACAAACATACATTGTTTTTATTTTTTTTATTTTTTTTTAAATTTTTTATTTATTTATGATAGTCACAGAGAGAGAGAGAGAGAGGCAGAGACATAGGCAGAGGGAGAAGCAGGCTCCATGCACCGGGAGCCCGACGTGGGATTCGATCCGGGGTCTCCAGGATCACGCCCTGGGCCAAAGGCAGGCGCCAAACCGCTGCGCCACCCAGGGATCCCCCATACATTGTTTTTAAAACTAACACCTGTTACTTGTTTAAGCAATAGAGCAGGAATGCCACCTTTAGACTAAATGAGGTTTGCTTATTAAGTAACGTCTGCCAAGGCGGTCATATGTCAGGCCACCTCAGTGCTTACTTTATGGGAACTTGTCTCGATAACATTTTAAAGGAGAAGCAAATATGTACTTTTACTTCCATAAGGGGGAAGAGCTAGGTGCAGTCCCAGCGGGTTGGCCAGGTATGACAGGGAGCCTTTGCTCAACCTGGAACCTTGCCTCGCACCGCAGGACCGCTCCCAACACATGAGCGAGTTATTTGTGGGACTTGTTGGTTTTGAAGGAAACCTGTAAGATTTTGCCCCCAGGCGGTAGCCGTTCAGACTTGCTATGGCCATGGCGGCTTCTACATAGTTTGTCATGGTCACAAAGCCAAAGCCTTTGCACTTGTAGGTGTTGAAGTCGCGAATCACTTTCACATTGGTGACTGCCCCAAAGGGGCCAAACATCTGCCAGAGGATCCCCTCATCGGCGTCCTGCCCGAGGTTGTAGATGAAGATGCACCAGCCCGAAGACGCGTTGCCCGGGACATTGACACCAGAAAGCCCACTCATGTGATCTACACCCATAGGGGAGAACCTGAATCTCTGCGCCTGGTGGTGAACGGGGCCTCCGAACCATCTGGCAGGCGAGTGGTACAGCTGGGAGAGCAGTGCCATGTTTTTGTTCTGGTTGCGGTTGGCTGCAAACTTCACTGTAATGGGCTCAGAGGAACCTGGGGGTTTATGACCATTGAAACTGGTAATTGCCTCTTCTGCCTCCGACCGTTTGTCAAACTGGATAAACGAAACCCCTCTGGACAAACCTGTGGTCTGATCCACAAGGACCCGGGAGTTGATGATTCGCCCGAACCGAGAGAACATATCCTCCACGTCCTTCTGGGTCATGGTCCGCGGGAGACCCCTGATGTACAGGTTGGCATTTTTGATGGCTTCTGAGCTAGGGCGAGCATACGACACCTTAATGGTTTTTGACTGGAGCCTCAGAAAATGCCAAACTTTTCAGAATGGTCAGACTGCTTCTCCTCATTTTCTGGCTAGTAGAAGTTGAAAGACTCGCCAGAGTTTGCAAAGATGAAATATGAAGGAAACCAGCATCAGGACCCAGAACTGACCCCTAAGGCCAAGCTCACTCCTTCACTTAACTGGTTTCATTGACCACCGGACAAAAAGTAGTGGCCAATACAACCTGCTGGGCTGGGGCCAGGGCACTTTTAATTTTTAAGTGACTTGCAGATATACCACGAGGTAGACACCACTGGCACTCTGCCCATTCAGAGAAGCAGCAGAGAAGAAGAGTTTATGCCCTTGACCCCAGGGATGCAGAGCTGGGACTGGACCCACTGGACTGGGCCCAGGCAGTATAGCAGCAGCAGCTGTTTTTCTTATGTGTCATGGAAGCAGGCAGCTGTGAAGTCCTAGAAAGAGCTCCTAGGTCAAGGGCAGGCACTGCTGCGCCACCCTTGCAGCTGTGTTCTTATGTGTCAGGGCCTGTGAAGTGCTAGAAAGAGCTCTAGGTCATTGGGCAACCCTGCAATCACATGCTACTCAAGGAATGCAAACTTCATTCATTCATTCATTCATTCACTCATTCCTCATCACGAACCAGCACACATGGGCTGTATTTGGAATACAGATGTAATTGAGACAGGCCCAGTTCCTTCCCACAGGTATGGGTGAAGCAGACAAATAATCATACTAACAGATATAAACATCAGGTAAGAGAAGTAAAGGGACTTAGATTCTTCTCCAAAGAAGTAATGACCTGGCATTTAAGCTGAGACATAAGGTACCTGTTAAAGTTACCCAAGGGAAGTGTGTATAAGTGTATGTGTTGTTGCTGTGTGTGTGTGTGTGCATGCAGGGGTGGTGGGCCTTATAGGCCATATTCAGGATTTTCAAATGTTATCGTGTGTGTGTGTGTGTGTGTGTGTGTGTGTGTGTGTGTGCGAGCGTGTAGCTACTGCAAGGTCTGAAAGCAAAATGATAACACATCAAATGAACATTCTTAAAAATACCAAGTGAGGGGGCCTCTGGGTGGCTTACCGGTTGAGCATCTGTCTGTCTTTGGCCCAGGGTGTGATCCCGGGGTCCTGGGATTGAGTCCCACGTCAGGCTCCCTGCAGGGAGCCTGCCTCTCTCTCTGTGTCTCTCATAAATAAATAAAATCTTTAAAAAATAAAAAGGAAAAAAATAGCAAGTGGTTTAGCTTTAGGAGGGAGGACAGAAGGCAGGAGGGGAGGGAAGGAGAGGATAGAGCAGCCCCTCTGTGGCTGTGCAGGGGGAGAAGAGGGTGGTGGTCCCCGGGAGGGGAAGGAGGTGCCTCTCCCTCTGTCTCTCATGAATGAATGAATGAATAAAAACTAAAAAAAAAATAGATAGCTTTATTTCTATTTCTTGCCTAATTGTCTTAGCTAGAATGTCTAATATGGTGTTGAATAGAAGTAGTGAGAAGAGACAGCCTTGTCTTACTCCTGATCTTAGGGGGAAAGTTCTCAGTTTTAACCACTTAGGATAATGCTAGCTGCAGGTTTTTTATGGGTGCTCTTTATCAGATTGAGGAGGAAGTTCCCTTCTGTTCTTGGTTTGTTTATTGTTTTTATTACACAGGGGTCTATTTTTTAGTTTTTTTTGGTCTTTGGTTTCCCGAAATCAATTGTGAATCTTCATGAAAGTAAGAATTTTTTTTTTTTTAAGAGTTTGCCATCCTTCAGTGCCTACAAACCTTCTTGGTATAGAGCAGATGTCATTCAAATAAATATTTAGTGAGTGATGATAGAATGAGTAAATGAACAGATTTGCTTTTGCATCCATCCATGGTAATGCGAGTCTCAAAGCTGTTCTTTGAGAGTGAGAAAAATAATGATTCCTGACCAAAATGTGATTGAGATGACCTATCTGAAGATTTCTATAAGTGTCCTTTTGAAGTCTTGGCATTGAATGACATGTGCTGTCTTAGGTCAGTTTCCCCAAGGAAAGAGATTCTGAAACAGAGTTGTATATAAATTTTTACTTTATATTTAAGCAGGGCCCCCAACATCCACTACATGTATATACTAGATGATCTAGCAGGTCTGAGACTGGGAGCCTCATCAGTACTTTCTGCCCTGTTATTATCCAGGACATTTAGTCTTTGTCAGAATATTATCATTGGTCAAATAATTAAATTTTCAAATAGCCACAATAAGTCTGGATTAACAAATGGTAAGACCAACTTTCTAAATACTGTCTGCATTGCCTCAGGAACACTAATAAACTTTGAAAATCAGTTGTGTTAGTGAGTATCTGTTTGTTTACTTATGAGAGGTCAATGAGCTAATAGTACCTCTTCATCCACTGCTTAATGTTAGGACATTTAAGTCTTTACGTCTATGGTTATACCATATATATCAAAGATGAAGTTATTTCACTTGTCTACTTGGAATGAGAATTCCAAAAAAAAAAAAAAGTTTTTTTTAAAATTGATTGATTTTATTATCTATCTATCTATCTATCTATCTATCTATCTATCTATCTATCTATCTATCTATCTATATTCATGAGAGACAGAAAGAGAGAGAAGTGGGCAGAGACACAGGCAGAGGGAGAAGCAGGCTCCATACAGGGAGCCTGACGTAGGATTTGATCCAGGGTCTTCAGGATCACGCCCTGGGCCGAAGGAGGTGCTAAACCTCTGAGCCACCCAGGCTGCCCTCTTGAAAAGTATTTAAAGGCAAGTGTCACCGACTACTTTTTTTTTAAGATTTTATTTATTTATTTATTCATGAGACAGAGAGACAGAGACATGGGCAGAGGGAGAGTTCCGTAAGAGCAGGATAAATACTTGATTCTTTTTATCAGTTTTCAGAATGATTCTCCAAAGGTGACTCTTTTTTCTTTCTTTTTAAGTATCATTTTGAACTCATGGAATTTAATATAATTATTTCCTTCCACTGAACTTGTTATCCTTTATGGATACTCATATGTATCCCATTTCTGGCCAGTGGGAGTCTCTTTAATTTGGTTTCTGAATTCTTTTGACATTCTCCTAGGAGTGTTTGATTGCTTCTTTGCCATCTGTTATGATGAGGTGTTCCAGGATCATCATCTACATTTCTGATGCCCAACGTGGAAGCAGCCATAAGAAGTCCTGATTTCTTTTAGTGCAAAGTGATATTCTGGTGTCATAATCTAGACATAGGAATACACACTGCTATGAATTGGTCATTGTTTCTAGGCCTTTCAGTGACCAGAGCTAGGAGAATTCATAGAATTATTTCCAATTCAGACTCAGAATTTGTAAGGTTCTTTATTTAAACTCTTTCAGCTTACATTTGTCTGTTTTTCCACTGGGGAATTAATTCCATTTGACTCTGAAGATGATGAAATTAGAAAAGTGTGTAATTTGCTTTATCCCACTTATGCACAAAAATGGTGTCAGAATAACATTACGCATGTTACTGTTTCTTTTTTTACACATGTTACTGTTAATATGATTACTGAAAACAAATTTTTTCTTCTTTTTCCCCCATTTTTCTTTTCAGAAGTGGCTACATTTCCACCAGCAGTGTATGTGGCTTCTGATTTTCTCTGCATCCTCACCAACACTTGTTATCCCCTGTTCTTTTCATTAGTATTATTATGGCCATTCTGTTGGTATGAAGTAGTACCTCACTAGAGTTTTGATTTGCTTTTTTCTGATAGCTAAACGATATTGGGCATCTTTTCATGTGCTTCCTGACCATTTGAAGAAATGTCTGTTCAATTGGGTTGCTCATTTTTTTTTTTTTAAAATGTGTTTTCTGTCATTGAGTTGTAAGAGTTTTTATATATTCAATTTGTCAGATATATGATTTACAAATTCTGTAGGTTGTCTTTTCTGTGCCCTTTGAAGTGAAAAATTTAAAAGTTTTTTTTTAAAGTGCTCGCTTCGGCAGCACATAAAATAAAATGTTTTTAAAAGATTTTTATTTTCAATTAAAGTGAGTGCGTGAAAGAGAGCATGAGTTTGTGCGGGGTGGGAGGGAAAGTGCAGAGGGGGAAGGAGGAGTAGGCTGTCTGCTGAGCAGGGAGCCCCATGCAAGGCCGGATCCCAGAACCCTGAGATCATGACCTGGGCCAAAGGCAGACACTTAAATGACTGAGCCAACCAGGTCCCCAACAAAGTTTTAAATTTTGATGAGGTTTAACTTATATTTCTGCTTTTTATGTTTGGTATCAAATCTAGGAAACCATTGCTGAGTCCGAGATCCTGAAGCTTCACTCCTATGTTTTCATTTAGTTTAGTTCTTACATTTAGGTCATGGATCCATTTCAAGTTGATTTTAGTATTTGGTGTGAAGTAAGGTCAACTTCATTCTTTTATCCCATGTCCTAGCACCATTTGTTGAAAAGTCTATTCTCCCCATTCCCTTGTCTTGACGCTCTGAGTGAAAATCACTTGACCGTAGGGACGAGGGTTTATTGATGGACTCCTAATTATATTTCACTGACTTCTATCTTTCTTTATGCTCGTACCTGATGGATTACTACTGCTTTGTAGTATGTTTTGAAATTGGAAAATGCGAGTCCTCCAGCTTTGTTCTTTGATTGTAGGATTTCCCCAAAGAAGCAAGTTGGGATTTTAATAGGGATTGTGTTGAATATTTAGATTACTTTGGATAGTATCGATATCTTAACAATATTAAGTCTTGTCTTCAGATCCCTTGGGTTTTCTATGTTGTAGGAGCAGCTTTCCTATTTCCCCAAAGAAGCAAGTTGGGATTTTAATAGGGATTGTGTTGAATCTTTAGATCACTTTGGATAGTATTGATATCTTAACAATATTAAGTCTTCTGTTTCATTAATGTGGGATGAATTTCCATTTATTTAGATCTTTGATTTCTTTCAGGAACGTTTTGTCATTATCAGAGAGTATATGCTTTGCATTTCTTTTATGGTGGAATTTCTTCCTAGCATTTTATTGTTTTTAGTGCCATTGTAACTGTTTTCTCAATTTCATGTTGGATTGTTCATTGTTAAAAAATATAGAAATAAAATTTGTTTGTTATATATTAATCTAGTATATTTTGCAACCCCACTAAACTCATTTATTCCGAACGTTTTTCAGAGCATTCCTAGGATTTTGTATAGATAAGATCCTATCATCTATGAATAGAAGCAGTTTTCCTTTCTAAAGTAGATGCCTTGGGCACCTGGGGGTTCAGTGGTTGGGCGTGTGCCTTTGCCTTAGGGTGGGATCCTGGGATTAAGTCGCACATCAGGCTCCCTGAGGGAAGCGTACTTCTTGCCTTTGTCTCTGCCTCTCCCTCTGTCTCTCATGAATGAATGAATAAAAACTTTAAAAAAATAGACTGGTTTATCCTAGTGCCTGTGACTGCATATAGTCGCAGGGAGAGAGGAAGAGGGAGAAGCAGACTCCCCACTGAGCTGGGAGCCTGACCTGGGGCTTGATCACAAGACCCTCAAGCCCCGGAGATCACAACCTGAGCTGAAGGCAGACACTTAACTAGCTGAGCCACCATGGCGCCCCCAAAGCTAAGCAGTCTAAGAGAATTTCCACAGCCACCCGTACCAGGGTTTACACCCACATCCAGACTTTTATTATATCTTGTTATTGTTATAATATTTATTACTTATTATATTAATGAAAATAATTAAAATTAAGTAGAAATTTTAAATTCAGTTCCCCAGTCACAGCAGTCACATTTCAAGTGATTAGTATCAACACATGGCTAGTGGCTATCCTATAAGCCAGCACAGATGGACATTTCCATTATTATAGAAAGGTCTACTAAGCAGTTGCTACAGATTATTTTATGCCAAACTTCATTTATGTACTAGATAATATCCACTCCTACTGAACTTTATTCCAACAGGTCTTGCCTATTATTTCTCATCTTAACATCTTCTTTTGGCTCTACTTCCTCCAACTATTGCCCAATTTCTCTGCTTCTCTCTGAAGTAAAATGGCTCATAAGTTTTCTGTGCTCATAGTCTCCAGTTCCTCTGCTCCCATTCTCTTAAATTCCCCCAACGTGGACTTTAACCCACATTCCATAAAAATGCTTGCCAAAATCACATAGGGCTTCCACATTCTAACCCAGTTGTCAATTTTATCTTCATTGTAGTTAACACATCAGCAGGATTTAAATACTGTATCCCTCTTTCTCCAGTGGCTTCCAGCATACTCTGTGTTCTCTTAGCTTTCTCTCTCTTGAACACTGCTCAATCTCCACTGCTGCTTTATCCTCTCCACCCAGCCTCTGACAATGGAGTACCCACTATCAGTCCTCTCCTGACTCCACGCTCACTTCCCAGGGCATTCCATCTATTCCATGGCTTTAAGTAGCATCAAGATGCTGAGAACTGTCCATCTAAGTCCCTGGCCCCAACCTCTCTCAAGGGCTCCTCCTTGACTACTTGATGCTCCACTTGTCTGAGAGAGACCTCCAACCTGACAGCTCTACACTTCAGCTTCCTAGACAAACCTACGCTAACTAGAGTCTTTCCTACCTTACTGACAACTCAATCCTTCCAGCAAGTCATCCTTGTTTCCTCTCACATGCCCCACAGTCAAACTACCTTTGATATACCTTTCAAAAGTATATCCAGAATTTGACTCTTTCTCTTTCACTTCCACATACCTCCTTACCCCCCAGGATGAATCACCTTAATCTTACTGAACTCTTGCCACAGCAATCCTTTCAAAGGTATGCAGGTCATACCTGTCTTTCCTCTGCTCAAAACCCCCCATGGGGGATCCCTGGGTGGCTCAGCGGTTTAGCGCCTGCCTTTGGCCCAGGGCGCGATCCTGGAGTCCCGGGATCGAGTCCCACGTCAGGCTCCTGGCATGGAGCCTGCTTCTCCCTCCTCCTGTGTCTCTGCCTCTCTCTCTCTCTCTCTCTCTCTCTCTCTCTCTGTCTATCGTAAATAAATAAACAAATAAACAAACAAACAAATAAATGATAAATAAATAAATAAATAAATCTTTAAAAAAGAAAAACTCCCATGGTTCACCATTTCACTCAGAATAAAAAATTCAAAACCCTTTACACCAGGACACAAGATTCTAGGTGATTTTAAGTTATAAATGGACTGAAGCAAAGGCTTCAGAACTAGCTTTACATGTCTTCGTCACTTCTGTCAAAGGCCAGTATAGAGTTTGAGCCACTATGTTAATGACTAAACAAGAGATACTTTCTTTGAATAGATGAAGGCCTAAGTTGGGCAAAGCCTGTGACCACATTTTCACAAATCATATCCTTAACCTATATAAGTGTATTGAGGTATGTTCTAGCTTACAGGAATCCTTGGGACCCCTTTGTCAAAGCACAACTCAAACACTCGCCATCAACGGCATACACATCTTTGTGTCTCCTTCAGAGGCACATCATCAACTCAGTCTGTTCTGCATCCCCGGCAGGGGGGCCAGACCATCTTCTTTCCAGTATTCCACATGTTCCCTTTATCTCCTCATCTAACCTGGCACTTGAAATATCCTCTGAACTCTGACCAGGATAGGTTTTTAGAAAAGCTTCCCTGGAGAGCACAGGTGTGTGCACAAGCAGTGGTAGGTGCAAGAATCACCCAGCCATTCAAATTAATTATGGTTCCAGGGAGCAGTCATGAGAATGCTTCGGCAATGCCTACACTAATGAAACACACTGTCTCAAGTCACTAACAGCATGTAATCCTCAACACTTGCTGCCTGTCTCAGTCATTTTTGCTTCCTCAATGCTTGGTACAAAATAGACACCGATATCTTCGCCAGTGATCATAATCAGACGACTGCATGAATAAACAGACTCATCTGCATCTTGACCTAAGAGTCCAAACCAGAGGCACAGAAGCAGGTCAGGAAGCAGAGACCTAAACAAAATTATGTATTCACAACACAATTATAGCCTTGAAATAAAGGCTTGAAATAAAACTCGATAGGAACCAAGTTTTCTTACCTGTGCTTGTTTATGCATTTCTCCTTTAAGATCATCAAAACATGTGCTTTCTCCTTCATCAGATTCTGCATCAAACATCTCCTTCAATTTTCTCTTCTTATCCAAATGCTTTTTCCTGGCACTTTCCTCTGTACTGGGGTCAATTTCTTCCTTATTAACTTCTTCTACATCTTCAATCTTAAATTTAGAGAAGAGAAAATTTTGTAAAAGTCTGTGGAAATCTTTTCTTTAAACATTAAAGTGTATTTTTAAAGTTCTATCTGAGCTGCAAAAATCTTGGTTATGATCATCATGAAAACAAAACCAAAAACAAACCAAACCAAAACACAGCCTTTGGTTCTAAATAACATGTACTACCATAAGAGACATTTAAACATCTACACTACAATAAACTGTGTGGCTTCTTAATCTTGCTGGGATTGCCAAATATGAATAAAAATAACAGCAAGTGTCCCCACTCAGATACTCCCCAGACACGGTTTTAAAGAAATATTAGGGAGAATAGGTATTTAATTCTTTTAAATGGTACTTAAATTTAAGAAGAGGAGAATGATGGCAAAAGGAATGTTAGAAAGAAAGATGGTGACTCAGGAGCTAAACTTTCAATGACTGAAGAATCATAATGACAACAAGAAGTAAGTAGGTGTCACCCAAAAGTTCACGAATAACAAACCAACAACTTGGATTTGTTCCCAATCTCCATATTTTTAGGAAGGAATCTATCCACTCTATAATCTACACAGATAAGTAAGATCTGCATTTCTTAATATGGGCCTCTCTCAGAACATAGTGGCCAGTGACTGGCTGCCAGCCATGGCAAAATCATACCTGAGTATCTGGGTCTGATTTTCCCTTGTGTACGTCCCCTGTTTCCAGGTCTTCAAAGTCACCATAGAGCTCTTCTGGGAAAAGAACACCCAAATGTCTTCTATGAATAGGGCTTGCATATGACACTGCAGCACCACCAGGTTCACTGTGTACTCTGAAGCCCAAATTTCGTTTTTATCCCTCTTATTACTATATACCCTAGGAGAACCCTGTACTTGCACTGGATTCTTTTTCTTGTTAAACTGTCAGTATTTCATCACCTTTTTGGATGAAGCACATGGACTCAATCCATGTTTCCTTACTTTTCTTTGATATCCCACTTAGCCAAGAGCTATTTTTCTAATACAGGTAGTAAACACTTCATAGCAGAGATGCAGAGATACATGCATGGCCCTAGAGGGGAGTCCCCGAGATCAACAGTAACATGAAAAAAAAAAAAAAAAACCCATGCACACACACACACACACACACACACACAAAAACAAAACATGAAAAAACCATGGCTTGATTAACAGCACATAGGGCAGAGTCTCAGTAGTAAGAGCAACACTAAACGATGTATGGCATACCTAGGAAAAATCTTAGATTAAATAAATTACAGTAATTAGAGTAAGAATCATACCCAAAACAATGCTGAACCACATGAAGAACTCATTAATTCCATGTTTTTAAAGCTCTAAGTTTAGCTATGGGTTCTATCCTTAAAAGAAAAAGACACTAAAACTCCTTTGGGAAGCAATGTTTAGATAAAACATTTTCATATAAGAAAGAGCCAAAGAACCAAAGAAGATAAAACAGATGGGAAGATTCTGGTTGTTTAAAAAAAAAGGATAAAATAATTAGGAATAAACCTAACAACAAATGTGCTGGAGCTTTATTTTAAAAACTTAAAAAACTTTAATATGCTACCAAACACATGGAATAGACATGAGCTAACACTGTCAAGTGCTTTACAGACACGGTACTGTTCTAAATACTTTAATTGCCATTAACTACATTCTTCAACATGACCCAATGAAGTAGGTATTGTTAACATTATCTACTGAACAAATAAAGATTTGCATATATTGGAAAAAGAAGACTCAATATCAGAAAGATGTCAATTCTCCCTTTGTCACAGTTCTAATAAAAAATACCATCAAGAAAAGACAACCTACTGAATGGGAGAAGATATTTGCAAATGACATATTCAATAAAGGGTTAGAATCATATATATATATATACATATGATTCTATATGGCTATATATATACATATATATACATATACAAATATATATATACATACATATACTATATATATATATAACTCAACATCAAAAAAAAGCAAGTAATTCAATTAAAAATGGGCAGAAGACATAGACATTTCTCCACTGGCCAAGGGACACATGAAAAGATGTTCAACATCACTCATCATCAGGGAAATGCAAATCAAACCCACAAGGAGCTCTAACTCACACCTGTCAGAATGGCTAAAATAAAAAACACAGAAAACAAGTGTTGGCAAGGACATGGAAAAAAAGGAACTCTTGTGCACTGTTGGAAGGAATGCAAACTGGTGCAGGGAGACAGTATAGAGGTTCCTCAAAAAGTTAAAAATACAACTACCATATGATCCAGTAATTGCACTACTGGGTGTTTATCCAAAAAATATGCAAATACTAATTTGAAAGGATATATGCATCCCTATGTTTATTGTAGCATTATTTACAATAGTCAAATTATGGAAGTAGGCCAAGCATCCATCGATAGATGAATGTATAAAGAAGATGTGGTGTACACACACACACACACACACACACACACACACACAATAATGGATTTTATTCAGCTATCCAAAAGAATGAAATCTTGCCATTTGCAACAATATGAATGGATGTAGAGAGTACAATGCTAAGGAAAATTCGTTAGAGAAAGACAAACACCATATGATTTCATTCATATGTAGAATATAAGTCACAAAGAAGCAAGGGGGAAAAAGAGACAAACCAAAAATCTCTCTTAACTATAGAGAACAAATCAAGGGTTACCAGAGGAGAGGTGGTCAGGAGATGAGTGAAATAGGGGGATTAAGAGGACACTTGTCATGATGAGCACTGAGTAATATACATAACTGTTGAATCATTATATTGTACACCTGAAACTATTATAACAATGTATGTTAACCACACTAAAACTAAAATTAAAAAAAAAATACCACCACGGATTTCTGTCTGGAAAAGATAGTATAGGCTTATTTCCTCCGTTCCTCCCATCTAAGTATAACCAACTCCAAAAATAACCCAGAATCCAAGGAAAACCAAAGCACTCTGAAAGGTGTAAAGAAAAAAGGGCTGGTGAGGGGCCCCAGGACAGGAGGAATGACATAATGGCCAGTGGCTCACTATACCACAACCCACAGAAAGGCAATTCAGAGCCACTATTTCCCAATCTCCAAGCTAGCAACAGAAGGTAGACCAGGTAGACTCAATCTTCTCCCAAATCAAACCCCAATCTTAGCAGCAACACCAGGTAAACCAGGCAGCACTGGCAAGGGGGCTTCTTTCAAAGCGCCACTGACAATAAGTGATGAGGGAAGTTTGCCTTCTCCAAAGATCCTGAATCTCCTTTCCTCCACCAAGATATACCAGGTGGTGAAAGGTTATTGGCAAAGGGAGATTGTGCCCGGCATGAGGCTCTCCTCCTCATGTGTGTGCCCAGGCAGGACCAGCAAAGATCCCCCCACAACAAGCAAACTAGCGTTGGGTCGGGGTTAACCGGTTACCCTGACAGCATCCTGGAGTTCAGCAAACGCCTGGGCGTGTAAAGAGATAAAGGAGCATGCAACGGAGAACACTGCAGACCAAACTCTGTATAAACTTGAGCAAGGCCCCTGGTCTATGGAATCTTAGCGAAGAGGGGACCTCGAGACTCGCCCTGAGTACCCACGAGGGCTGGTGCAGAGACCTCATGAGATGACTGACGTGAACAGCTTTTTAAACTGTACGGTATACAGAGGTTGCAAAACATGGTTTCTCATTGACGGGCTTGTAACCCATCTTATCCTGAATGTCACCCAGTATAGCATGTTCTTCTCCGCCCTTTCCAGAAAACCCCCCACCCAGAGACTGAAAAGGCCACCAGGGAGCCCACCTCTACTTTTCCTCCTCCAGTCACATGAGTCCTCTGGAAATTCTTATATAGTTCATCCTCTGACCTATTAAACTGTTCTCATTCTACTTTCCATCATATAAAATAATATGAAGGCAAAAATGTCATCCACGAAATATTCAAATTCCTCCAAAAAGACTAAATATTCAAGACTACAGCTTGATGACTACATTACACATCAAGATGGTAAAGTCTTTTATCTTCTGGCTAAATGTATGATAGTTTAAGTTATACATATGTAAAATTACTTTATAATTACAGTGTGCCCAGGCATTGAGCTAAGAACTCTGCCTGTATTATCATATTTAATTCTTCCAGTGATCCCATAAGGTACTACTATTATAATACCTATTTTACAGATGAGAAAACTGATTTAGAGATTATGACTGTGTCTAAATTCACATGATTAGCAAGTAGTAAAGTCAGGACTGAAACTAACAAATCCAAATAACTGCAAAGACCCAACTCTTAATTAACTTCTATTTCATTGCCCTGAACTGTCAGAATCAAAAACCACCCTTAAACTTATTGTAAGAGAGATGTATGGGGACAGATGGTAGTGACATTTGTGATTTTTTATAGCATAAATTAAATTTTATTGTGTTCAATTTACCAACATACAGACCTAAAACCCAGTGCTCATCCCTCAAGTGTCAACTCAGTGCCCATCACCCATTCACCCCCACCCCCCCTCCTCCCCTTCCACCACCCCTAGTTCATTTCCCAGAGTTAGGAGTCTTTATGTTCTGTCTCCCTTTGATATTATCCCCCATTTCTTCTTTCCTTCATTCCCTTCCCTTATATTCCCTTCCCATATATCCAGATTTATATTTCCCTTTTTTGTCCTTCTCCGATTGAACTACTTCACTCTCCCATAACACTCCTTCTGTCCATCCATGTTGAAGCAAATGTTAGATATTCTGTTATTTTCATTAATGTCAATGTATTTTCAACATTTTCTATGTATTGTAAATTGTATACATCACACAAAAAGAGGTCCATTAAAAATGGGAAAGCTTGGGAAGATTAGTTCTCAAAGTTTAGAAATTTAGAAAAATTGAAAGCTCATGAAATTATTTGACACATATGCAAGATATTTGTTGCATTTATTTATAATGAAATCTGAAAAATTTGCTTAAATAACCATAATAGGGTAACCATTAAATGGTACATATAATGGTATAATAGATAATTTTCTTTTTGTGTCTTCTTACCAGGTAGATGTTTTTCAGTGGGCCTGCATTATTTTAAATAACCATTTTTTCATTTATCTGAATATATTCTAGTAAGAATATCATGTTTAAAAGTTTGTATAATTTGTTGTTTCCTGCCTTGTTATTATATACTTATGTATATGTATGTACATATCTCATGTACACACACACAGGGGTATACATCACAGATGTGAGCTTGAAGATTATTTACCTCATTTTCTACTATATCTATAATTAGTGTTCATATGGGTTTTGCTTATTCATTTTTTTTAAACTAAAACAAACAAACTGATAAATAAGCCTGTGTTTGTTTTGTGTTTTTGCTCTAAAACGGGGAAGCACTTGCATTCATCCTCCGTATACTTTGCATTAAGGAGTGTGAGATGATGCAGCAGAAAAAATATAGTCACTGAGGTGCACCTGTCTAGCTTAGTCATTAGAGCATGCTGCTCTTGATCTTCTTCCTTTGAGTTTGAGTAGCCATATTGGGTATAGAGCTCAAAAAAACTACATCCCATGTGTGTGTATGTGTGTGTATGTGTTATATGCCTTATGTATGTATGTATATATGTGTGTATATATATATATATATATATATATATATATATAGGTTGATGATAATAATCCATTTTTTGAATATGATTGATGTTGTTCTACATCATTTTTTATTATCTAACTGTATTGCATGAAACTTTTGATTTTGTATCAATCTTGTCTCAGCTTTAGATTGCTCATCCATTTTGAGTTTATCTTTGTGTATGTCTGCAAACTGTTCTAGTTTCATTCTGAGTGCATGTGGATGTCCAATTTTCCCAGCTTTAATTTATTGAAGAGACTGTCTTTCTTCCAGTCATGATAGTCTTTCCTCCTTTATCAGAATATTAGTTGACCATAAAGTTCAGGGTCCACTTCTGGGTTCTCTATTCTGTTCCATTGATCTATGTGTCTCCAGGATTGTGCCAGTACCACACTGCTTGCTGACCACAGCTGTGTAGTACAACCTGAAATCTGGCATTGTACATGCCTAGATATGGTTTTCTCTTTAATTTGCATGAAAGCTATTTGCAGTCTTGAAAGATTGCACAAAAATCACAAAACAAATTTGTTGTAATGGATTAAGAGATATATCCATCAAACACAATATATAGACATTGCACATTGCAGCGGGGGTAACATTGCCTGATTTGAACAATTAATTCTGCCAAAAATAGCATGAAGCATTTTTCCAGTTTCAATCTTAATCTCAATGATATCAGAAAAGAATTATTGTTAGATGGGTATAGATCCTTTACCTCTTTGGTTAGGTTCATTCCTAGGCATCTTATGCTTTTGGGTGCAATTGTAAATGGGATTGACTCCTTATTTCTCTTTCATTCAGCTCATTGGCCACAGTGTATAGGAATGCCATTGATTTCTGGGCATTGATTTTGTATCCTGCCAGCTACCAAATTGCTGTATGAGTTCTAGCAATCTTGAGGTGGAGTACTTTGGGTTTTCTAACAGAGTATCATGTCATCGGCGAAGAGGGAGAGTTTGACTTCTTCTTTGCCAATTTGAATGCCTTTAATGTCTTTTTGTTGTCTGATTGCTGAGGCTAGGACTTCCAATACTATGTTGAATAGCAGTGGTGAGAGTGGACATCCCTGTCTTGTTCCTGATCTTAGGGGAAAGGCTCCCAGTGCTTCCCATTGAGAATGATGATATTTGCTGTGGGCTTTTCGTAGATGGCTTTTAAGATGTCGAGGAAATTTCCCTCTATCCCTACACTCTGAAGAGTTTTGATCAGGAATGGATGCTGTATTTTGTCAAATGCTTTCTCTGCATCTAATGAGAGGATCATATGGTTCTTGGTTTTTCTCTTGCTGATGATGATGAATTGATCACATTGATTGTTGAACCAGGTTGTACTACAAAGCTGTGGTCATCAAGACAGTGTGGTACTGGCACAAAAACAGACACATAGATCAATGGAACAGAATAGAGAACCCAGAAGTGGACCCTGAACTTTATGGTCAACTAATATTCGATAAAGGAGGAAAGACTATCCACTGGAAGAAAGACAGTCTCTTCAATAAATGGTGCTGGGAAAATTGGACATCCACATGCAGAAGAATGAAACTAGACCACTCTCTTGCACCATACACAAAGATAAACTCAAAATGGATGAAAGATCTAAATGTGAGACAAGATTCCATCAAAATCCTAGAGAGAGAACAGGCAACACCCTTTTTGAACTTGGCCACAGTAACTTCTTGCAAGATACATCCACGAAAGCAAAAGAAACAAAAGCAAAAATGAACTATTGGGGACTTCATCAAGATAAGAAGCTTTTGCACAGCAAAGTAATACAGTCAACAAAACTCAAAGACAACCTACAGAATGGGAGAAGATATTTGCAAATAACATATCAGATAAAGGGCTAGTTTCCAAAATCTATAAAGAACTTATTAAACTCAACAGCAAAGAAACAAACAATCCAATCATGAAATGGGCAAAAGACATGAAGAGAAATCTCACAGAGGAAGACATAGACATGGCCAACATGCACATGAGAAAATGCTCTGCATCACTTGCCATCAGGGAAATACAAATCAAAACCACAATGAGATACCACCTCACACCAGTGAGAATGGGGAAAATTAACAAGGCAGGAAACAACAAATGTTGGAGAGGATGCGGAGAAAAGGGAACCCTCTTACACTGTTGGTGGGAATGTGAACTGGTGCAGCCACTCTGGAAAACTGTGTGGAGGTTCCTCAAAGAATTAAAAATAGACCTGCCCTACGACCCAGCAATTGCACTGTTAGGGATTTACCCCAAAGATTCAGATGCAATGAAACGCCGGGACACCTGCACCCCGATGTTTCTAGCAGCCATGTCCACAATAGCCAAACTGTGGAAGGAGCCTCGGTGTCCATCGAAAGATGAATGGATAAAGAAGATGTGGTTTATGTATACAATGGAATATTACTCAGCCATTAGAAACGACAAATACCCACCATTTGCTTCAACGTGGATGGAACTGGAGGGTATTATGCTGAGTGAAGTAAGTCAATCGGAGAAGGACAAACAGTGTATGTTCTCATTCATTTGGGGAATATGAATAATAGTGAAAGGGAATAGGGAAGGGAAGGGGGAAGGAGAAGAAATGTGTGGGAAATATCAGAAAAGGAGACAGAACATAAAGACTTCTAACTCTGGGAAATGAACTAGGGGTGGTGGAAGGGGGAGGAGGGCGGGGGTGGGGGTGAATGGGTGACGGGCACTCAGAGGGGGACACTTGACGGGATGAGCACTGGGTGTTATTCTGTATGTTGGTAAATTGAACACCAATAAAAATTAATTTATATATAAAAAAACTAACACCTGTTATTTGTTTATGCAATGAGAGCCACAATGACAATTTATTTTTGCATGTAGAGTTTATATAGCCTTTATTAAGCAGGCGGCTTATGTCTGCCAAGGAAGTCATGTGTCAGGCACAAACATACCTTGTTTTTAAAACTAACATGTTACTTGTTTAAGCAATAGAGCAGGAATGCCACATTTAGAAGTGAGGTTTGTTTTATTAAGTAATGTCTGCCATAAGGGGAAGAGCTGTCAGGCCAGTCCTTGCTTACTTTATGGGAACTTGTCTCGATAATGATTTTAAAGGAGCCTTTGCTCAACCTGGACTTTTACTTCCATAAGGGGAAGAGCTAGGTGCAGTCTCAGCGGGTTGGCCAGGTATGACAAGGAGCCTTTGCTCAACTTGGAACCCTGCCTCGCACCGCGGGACGGCTCCCAACATCTCCCCCTATATTTTTCAAATGCAAAAAGTGAAGTTGTGCCTTAGAGGAGTTTAATTGATTATTGAATTTTTGCAAGAGCAGGCAAACATTACATACATCAGGATTAATCCGATTATTAATGCCAAAAATATCCAAAAAGAATGTTTCAGCGAATTGAAGGGATTAAAGCCATTTAACTGATTTAAGATCTCACCGGCTAAATCGCCGGGGTCTTCATAATGCAACATACTTTGACTAATGGCGTCTATTTCTTGTTGTAATTTTAAGAGATCCAGACTAATATTAGCATGATTCCAAACCCCTTGTAAATGCATACGTACATTTTCCCATGATCCATTAAAAGGCAGTGGGGTAACACAAATATGTTTATAAGCGTCATGGCAAGTCAATTGGGTTATAGTTTTTAATACAACAAATTGATCACCAAGATATAAAACGGCTTCTTTTAAAGCTTCAATCTGCGCTTCAATTTTTTCATCGATTCTCTTTTGAGCATCAAGAGCAATAGTTACATTTCTAGCAAGTTCATTTACATGTTCAGCGGTCTGAGCATTTTCATGCAAAGATACAACAGATACAGTAGCAGAAGCAATAAGAGCAATAGTAGCCACTATCCCTGCAATTAAAAAGTCCAAGAAATCTTCGAGTTCTTCATAGCTTCTTCACCAATTCTTGAGCTAACTGCATGCCAAAGTTCGTGTACCAAGGTCCTCTCACGTCAACAGGGATCATCCAATATGGAGGTTGTTGCACCAGGAATAACTTTGTGTTGAAATCAATCTTCTTATCAAACTTGTGGCTTGTGAGGTTAACTTCTTTATTTGTCCCCATGATGGCAAATCTGTTTTAAGAGTCCTCTTCCTCCGAGGAGGGCATAAGTTCAGCCGACTCATCTTCCTTCTCAGTTTTGATATCTCTAACAAATTTGGCTGGAACCCAGCGTGGCGCTTCCTCATCCTGTGGGAAGATACAAGCATATCCGACCCTGTCTAAGCAAGGGGTCAGGGCCTTTCCACTGTCCTGTCATAGGATCCTTCCACTTTGCCATAAGGGGTGGATCAGTATTTTTCCCCAATGTTTTTCTGATGGTGTATATCCATCCTCATGCACAATCAAAAAATTTAAAATGAATATTGCTAAGTCTAGGTGCATGTGGGGGGAATATTTCATTTTTCCTGCCATAATCTCCCCCTTTTTTAGTTTTTGTAAGGTATTTTTAAGTGTAAGATGAGCTCTTTCAATAATAGCTTGACCTGTAGAGTTGTAAGGGATGCCTGTGGTATGCTGGATGTGAAATGTCTTACAAAAGGTTTTAAAAGCTTGGGATATATAAGCACTCCCATTATCAGTTTTTAATCGTTTAGGCATTCCCATGTAACCAAAAGCGTGAAAAAGGTGATTTTGAAATTCAGTAAAACTTTCACCAGAATGAGCGGAAGCTACGATCATGCCAGAATAAGTATCAATAGAAACATGCACAAATTGTAATTTATTAAAAGATGAATAATGTGTTATATCCATTTGCCAGAGATCATTGGGCAAAAGGCCTCGCGGATTAATGGCAAAGGAAGGGGTGTTAACATATTGGGGACATAGGGAGCAATTTTTAACAATTTGCCTAGCTTGTTCTCTAGTTATATGGAATTGCTTTCGTAGGGATCGAGCGTTTTGGTGGAAAAGAGAGTGACTTTTCATTGCCATACCGACAGAATCCTTATTAGCAATGACAGAATATAAATGAGTATATCTGTCAGCCAAGTCATTTCCCGAGGATAAAGGCCCAGGTAAACCAGAATGTGCTCTAATATGAGAAACAAATATAGGTGAAACTCTTTTTAAGAGCAGCTGCTGTATTTTATGAAAAAGGCACGAAAGTTCCTCATCATTAGATTTATGAAAGAATCAGCAAGAATGGGTAATATCCTGGTGACATATTGACTATCTGAATAGAGATTAAAGGGTTCTTGATAGATTTCAAGAGTTTTTATGACAGCATAAAGTTCAGCCCTCTGGACAGATTTTGTCTTATAGGACAACTGAATGACATTTTTATGTTGTTTATGCAGATAGACAATGGCAATGTGCCCGTCTTTGCTGGCGTCCGGAAATATGATGGGAGCGTCTCTAATCGGTTGACTTGAAATTGGAGAGACAAATATAGTAGGAATGATGGAGAGTCCCTGAAGGAGTTTGTCATTGGGAAGATGAAAAAGAAATTGACCAGGAAAATTTGCCATAGATGTTTGCCATTCCAGGGAGGTTTGATATGCATCCTCTACCACTGAGGCGGTTAAAAGAGGACATACAATACTATGAGGCTCATGTCCAAATAATTGGATGCATCTCTTCCGTCCCCTAGCAATTAATAAAGATATAAGGGAAAATCGTTGGGTTGATGACATGCAAAACATGCATAGCTAAATGGAGCCATTCCAAAGGCCCATGGGTTTGCCACAACACTGCCATAGGGAGAGCATCAGGTTTTAAGATTATTAAGTTAACATTCTTTGTCAAATCTCTTTGTTGGAGCTCGCAGAGGAAATTTTATTTGCTACTAAAGCCAAGGCATCCTCTGCTTCTGGAGTAAGCTGTCTCAAAGATGAAGGGGAGGAGTCCCCTTTTAAAATAGAAAAAAGGGGCTGTAACTGAGAAGTGGTGAGAGACAGCGAAGGGCAGAGCCAATTTATATCACCTAATAATTTTTGGAAGTCATTTAAAGTTTTTAATTGCGAGGTTCTAACTGCGATTTTCTGTGGCCTAATACTCTGTTTACTAATAAGATATCCTAAATACTCAAAGGGAACTTCTCTCTGTACCTTCTCAGGAGCTATTTGAAGTCCAGCAGAGCTAAGACATTGGGAAAGAACCCGAAAGGCCTTAGCCAGGTGTTCACTGGCCTCTGCTGCCAGTAATAGGTCATCCATATAATGAATACAATATACCTCAGGGAATCGTTTCCTGAAAGGGATTATAGCTCTTTTTACATATTCTTGACACAAGGTGGGACTGTTAACCATTCCCTGAGGTAAAACAGTCCATTCGTATCGATAGTAGGGTTCTTGCAAATTTGTAGAGGGCAAGAAAATGCAAAATGCTCCCCATCACCAGGGGCTAAAGATATGGTAAAGAAGCAATCCTTTAGGTCTAGAACCAACATCTGAAAATTTAGCGGAATGGCAGAGGGAGAAGGGAGGCCAGGCTGTAGGGTCCCCATGGGAAATATTACCCGGTTGACTGCTCTTAGGTCTTGTAAAAGCCGCCATTTTCCTGTTTTCTTTTTAATGACAAAAATAGGGGTGTTCCATGGGCTAGTAGAAGGTTTTAAATGGCCGAGGTTTAATTGTTCTTGTATCAAGATCTCAGCAGCCTCTCTTTTTTCTTTCACTAAGGGCCATTGATCTACCCAAACAGGAGTGGAAGTTTTCCATTTGAGAGGCAATGCATGGGGAGGATTCAATGGCCCTGGGGAAAACCCAAACCTTGTCGGGCCGGATTAGGAATGGGGGCTATAAAGGCTGGGTCCCCTTGCAAATTTTTACCTAAACCTTTTCCAGGCTGATATCCATGCTGTATCAATTGATTAAAAGACCAATCATCGGAAAGGGAGAGATTCATTTGAGACAAAACATCTCTGCCCCATAAATTTAATTCTATATCTAATATAAAGGGCTGAAATACTCCTTGTGAATCATTCGTCAAATCTCTCCATGTAAGTAAATCAGAACCTTGTTCAGGGGAGGAGGCAAAGCCTACCCCTCGAATAGGTACATCAACTGTCTTTTTGGGCCAGGTTTTAGGCCAATTATGATTAGATATGACTGAAACATCTGCCCCAGTGTCCAAAAAAGGCCCGGAAAAACCTTTCCGTTTATTTCCAGGTTAAAAAGAGGTTTATCAGGTGAAATCATTTTGGTCCAATATATTGGTGGATCCGAAACCTTTATCTCCTCGCTCCCTAGTAAGCGCTTGATTAGAGGTTTTTATTATAGGGAGCAATATTAGTTGAGCAATAGGCATCCCAGGTTCAGAGAGAGAGTACCAGTCTTCAGGGATGCCATAATATTAATTTCACCCGTATAGTCAGGGTCAATAACACCTGGATAAACAATTAAACCTTTCATGGTGGAACTAGAACGCCCAAGGAGTAATCCAAAAGTTTCCTTAGGCAGAATCCCACATCGGGCCCCCATATGCCTGTAGGAATTTTTCTAGGTAATTGGCCTCCCTCCAAATAGTGAGTATGAACAGGAGCTAAATCTAATCCTGCACTGGCGGGGGTACCGCGGTATAATCTGTCAATTCGAGGGAGGTCATCGGTGTTGGAGACGGGAGTGATGTTTGTCGGGGAAAGAGGGCCGCTATTGTTTGTTGGGGCCGCGGCAAGCCCCCCTTCCAGTTTCCCGAGAGGGGATTCCCGTTAGAGTCAGTCTTTGATCTACATTCATTAGCCCAATGATATCCTCTGTGGCATCTAGGGCAAAGGTTTTGAGGTTTTTTTGTAGTTTGAGAAGTCTTTTTCTGAGGGCATTGATTTTTAAAATGTCCCAATTGGCCACATAAGAAGCATTTTTGATTTATTTTCATGTTTGGGTTCTTATTTTGTTTTAGTATCTGAGCATGCAATTTTGCAGGAGGGATGCCTTTGAAAGCAGCAGCCAAGGTGACTCCTTGCAAATACGAGGGCCCTATATCTGCGCAAAGGCGCACATAATCTTCAAGAGTTCCCTGGTTCTTCCAAGGTCTTATGGCTGCTTGACAGGCGGCATTAGCATTCTCATAGGCCAATTGTTTAACTCTTAAAAGTGCCAGCTTCCGCATCGGTGACTATTCTACTGACTGCGGTTAACAATCTGGCCACAAAATCAGAATAATTTTCCTCGGGACCTTGCCTGATTTTTGACAGTTCCTGTGACCTTGTATTTGTGGCAGGTAGCTTTTTCCATGCTGACAGAGAACAACTATTAATTTGGGTATAAGCTACTTCAGGAAAGTCCAATTGCAAGCCTACGTCATAATACGGACCAGAACCAGTTAACATGTTGTAATCAACAGGAATGTTAGTTCTCCTATTGTAGCTGGCCTGTTTTTCGGCATTTTCAGAGAATTGCGTTTTCCATAACAAATTGTCCCCCGGGGAGAGGCATGCTTGTGCAATGACCCTCCAATCTCCAGGACATAACGCTTCTCGTGTCAAATTGTCTAACATAGATAGAGTAAAAGGCGCTGTAGGGCCATACTGAGTACATGCTTGTTTCAAGTCCTTTAGTACTTTGAAGCTTAAGGCAGTGTATGCTCTCTCTGTCCCCCCTGCACAGTAACAGGAAATAACTGAAACTCAGATACATCTTCTCCCCTCTGTGAGGCTTGAAATAGAGTTCTTTGTAATGGAGTAACTCCTTTTATTGGGTTAGAATCGTCTGATTGAACAGGAAAAAGGCTTAGAGGAGCCTTCTCAGTTTGCACAGCAGAGGAGTGTAATAAAGGTGGGGGAGGAGGTTCAGCATGATTTAAAACAAAAACCTCCTCCCTTCTATCTTCAAGGTAGGGACCATCAAACGGATCCTCTTCTTCATCATCTATTCTAAGGGACAGTTTATGTAAAGGGGGAGTATGGATTTTTTGATTTTTTAAGCTCCCCCCATCGAGGGTGGAGACTCTTTTTCACTTTTAGAGTTCAAGGAGATGATCTCAATAGAGTCTGTAGGATCCAGAACCTCCTTTATACAATTCCATGTAGTCCATATATCAGGAGGCATTGTTCCCCTCTTATTTTTAATTCATTTTTTAGAGTCTGTCCAACTCTCTGCCAATCCGAAAGATCCACCGAGCCCTGATCAGGAAACCAGGGCATATTATTCTAACTGTATCAAAGAACTTATCCAAAGAGTTATGAGAAACCTTAAACCCCTTCTCCCTTAAAAGAGCCTGTAGAACTTTTAAAAAATACCCATGTTCTACAGATTGCCTTTGTCCCATGATTATTTTACTCCTATCGTTCACGGAGCCGCCGTGATCCCCTTACCTGTAACGTAAACACTTCTTCTTTCACTCTGTCTCGGGTCCCTGTTCGGGCGCCACTTGTCGCGGCGGCGCGAGAAGGTCCGGATTCAGGAACCGAGGGCAAGGGGATGAGAAAGAAACAAGAGACTAAAAGTTCATGGGATAGGAGGTTCCATGCAGCTGATGGCCACAATGGACAAGCTTTATTTTTGCATGTAGAGTTTATATAGCGTCCGTAAGCAGGCGGCTTATTTCTTTATTTCATTTTTTTAATTTATTTTTTTATTTATTTAAGGAGAAGTACATCTCGCGCACAAACATACATTGTTTTTAAAACTAACACCTGTTACTTGTTTAAGCAATAGAGCAGGAAGGCCACATTTAGACTAAACAGTGAGGTTTGTTTATTAAGTAATGTCTGCCAAGCGGTCATGTGTCAGGCCACCTCCTTGCTTACTTTATGGGAACTTGTCTCGATGACATTTTAAAGGAGAAGCAAATATGTACTTTTACTTCCATAAGGGGGAAGAGCTAGGTGCAGTCCCAGCGGGTTGGCCAGGTATGACAAGGAGCCTTTGCTCAACCCGGAACATTTGAAAATGAAGGAAGATAAGGGATGAAAAAACAGGGTGGAAAATGAAAAGGCCCTCAAGGATAGTAAATGATGATGAGGCCAGGCTGAAAGGAAGAAGAGGTCCTTACTGATGAGAAGTAGATTACACAGCTGTGTGCGGGCGAGGGTGCTTTGGTGCTTATACCTGGTGGCCTGGGGTGCAGGGTCAGCTTCGGAGAAGCAAAACTCCTGGCCACTCTGTCTAACCTAAAAGGAGGAGGGAGTTAAAGGTAAGGAAGGGTTGGGCAGTCGCCTCAGAAGATGTCCTCAGCCATAAAAATTGAGCTTATCTTGAACTGAAAATCTAACACTCACTTAAATTACTCCCAGCAAGGTGAGAGATGACTCCCTCCTCCCCCCCACGACTCCTGTCTGTTAGGTTGGGAGTGAACTTGTGTTCTCCCTTTGTGGGGTGGGGGTAGCGGTACAAAATGAAGTAAACGGGAAGAATTTCAAATGTGACCAGGATACCGTGGGTAGATTTTATAGATTACGTTATCCTGAGCAATAAGAACAGCCGAATGGTGAAGATACCACCACCACTCTGGCCTTCAGTAGGATCCTGGGGTACAGGATAAGACAACACTGGATCTAGCTGTTTCCAAAATAGTCCATTTTTAGGAATCCCAGGGCTCTCTTTTCCTGCAGTTCTATGCTTGCTTTTACCTGGGGCAGTTTTTTTTTTTAATAGTTTCAAACAGATTAACCCAGTTGTTCTTAACTTTCTAGCCAAATTTTCTTGGCACTTTTCCCAAGTGTACGTGGTTGTCTGTATATCTCTGGATAAGTTCTTGAGGATAACCAGTTCTTTTGTGTTCCATTTATTACCTAAATTTCATTAAGTTTTTGTTCTTTACATATCTCCTTAATCGAGAAGAAACCATCATTAGTCAAGAGGTTTAAGGAAAGTTTCTTCCCTTCTCCCTCTTCTGCCCCCCACCCCAGGTCACGGTGTCTCTGATCTTTGCCATCTCCATTGCTACAATAGGCTCTTTCCAGTTTGGCTATAATACCGGAGTCATCAATGCTCCTGAAACGGTGAGTGCCAGGCAACTAGAGTTAGAATTTGGAATTGGGAAATTATTCCTTTAAAGTGGTGTTCCAAAAAAAAAATAATAAAGTGGGGTTCAACAATGAAGAGTTTCAGTAAAACTTGGTATCTAGCTTGGTGAAGGCTGGAGAGACAGAATAATATTGGTGGGGAAGGCTAACTGAATCATTAATCAAAGCAAAAAGCTCAGTTGCTCTCTATACCCTTGACTGGACTGTACCCATTCTTCCTCTCACCTTATCATGGCACACTTCTTTTGTTATCCCTCAGGGGGTTAGTTACAACGGGGGTGGGAGGGTCTTAGGGGAGGACTAGGGGTAGTCTACTGAACATCTGTGCTACTACCTTTCTGGATTTTCAGGACAAATCAAAATTGTTCTTTTCAGAGCTACCATTAACCTCCAGTATGTTCTCTATCTCTTCCATCTGCATCCATTTACTTGATTCTTTGCTGTTAATCCATAATGCTGTTTTCTTAGAGAAAGATCCCCCCCAATATTTGCCCCTTCTCTCATTCAACTGTAACAGTCTGTCTGCCCACCAATCATTTTAATTTGCAGATAATAAAGGACTTTCTCAATTACACCTTGGAAGAGAAATCGGAAAACCTTCCCACTGAAGTGTTACTCACTTCCCTCTGGTCCTTGTCTGGGGCCATCTTCTCTGTTGGTGGTATGATTGGCTCCTTCTCTGTTGGACTCTGTCAACCGCTTTGGCAGGTATTGAGCAGAAACTGGGTAAGGAAGGGGGCTATACTGGTTGCATTGGGAACAGGTATTGAGAAATAGGATGGGGAGGCCATGATGCATTTGAATGAAAACATCCCCAATTCGAATTGAGGTAAACTAAGCCAACTGGCACTGAATAGGACTGCTTGAAGCTATGCTGCCCATCAAAGAGAGTCGCCTTTGCAGTCCAACTGAAGCTAATTCAGTAGTCTCTAATAAAGTGCACTATGGAATTTCCCAGAAACATACTTGATTTACAAGGTCAGGAGTTGTTTACTTTTCTTAAAAATTTTGGGATTTCATGCAAGTGTTTTCATTATTTTATAAAGCAGGATTGGGAGGAAACATTTTATAATCCTTGGCCTGTGGTAAATGTGGATAATGGCCAAATTACTGACATTTTTTCCCCAAAAAAGAACATTGAATCTTCTCATTCCACACTGACTTAATAAAACATTGTAGAATATTTTCAGTTATAACTGGTGAAGAAATCATTTCAGTTGCTAATTAGATGTTCTGGAAACACAAGTAGAATTTAACTTTAAAAAAAAATTTAAAGCGGGTACCCCATGTGGCTCAGTGGTTTGGCGCCACCTTCAGCCCAGGGTGTGGTCCTGGAGACCAGGGATCGAGTCCCCCATCGGGCTCCCTGCATGGAGCCTGCCTCTCCCTCTGCCTGTGTTTCTGCTTGTATCTCTGTGTTTCTCATGAATAAATAAATAAAATATTTAAAATAAATTAAAAATAAATAAAAATAAAAAAATTAAAGCAACCCATTTTATTTGATAATGTTTGATGTTTGTTGTGTTTGCATTTTTAAGGCCACAATGTGGCTACTCAAGTCATTGAAATTTTATTTTTTTAATTAATTAATTTATTTTTTAAATTTTGCTTATTAATTCATGAGAGACACAGAGGCAGAAACACAGGCTGAGGGAGAAGCAGGCTCCATGCAGGGAGCCCAACGTGAGTGAAACTCCTCCCTGGACTGGGATCACACCCTGAGCCAAAGGCAGATGCTCAACCGTGTCCCAAGTCATTGAAATTTTAATGTGCCTTTCCCATAACTCCCTGTGACTTTCTTCCTATTGTTATTTTATTAGCAAAAGAACCTAATAGAGGAAGTGGGGTCTCCCAGGAAAGGAATGCAGAGAAAGGTAAAAACAGAATGAGGGATGAAATTTTACCCTTTAACAGTAGGCTCTCTTTGGCTGCATATTTAGGATCTCCCTGGGAGCTTTTAAAAGTGCCAGGGTTTCAGAACTCCCTGGATAATTCCAGCAGACCACCCAAGGGGAGAGTTGCTGAAGCTCTAGTTTTTCCCAACATCTGCAGTAAATTTTCAGTGTTAATCTCTTACTTGCATTTTCGGTTAGCTGTTTCCATGGCTTTGCCTCCCACATTTAACACATAGATGCAGTAATTTGTTATTTTATACTGGCTATCAATACTAATTGAAAATGGCCTCCCCACAAGCTAGCCTGGAGCCAGGAGAGCTGAGGCTGTCCACTTTCTGCCCATAAAAAAAAAAAAAAAACTTTAGTCTGAAATCAGTCTTCATTAGTATGTTGGTGGCATCCAAACAACTATATTATAATAAAATGCAGTAAGAAGCATAAAAAGAGGGCAGCCTGGGTGGCTCAGCGGTTTAGCGCTGCCTTTAGCCAGGGACTGATCCTGGAGACCCGGGATCGAGTCCCACGTCAGGCTCCCTGCGTGGAGCCTACTTTTCCCTCTGCCTGTGTCTCTGCCTCTGTGTGTGTGTCTCTCATGAATAAATAAAATCTTTTAAAAAAAGAAGAAGCATAAAAGGATCAGCACTGGTCCAGAAATTTCTCTTGAATGTGTTCAGGGACCAGCTGTATCAGGATTGCCCAGTACCAATGGTTCTCAAACCTTAGCTAGAATCCAATCACCCAGATGGCTTTTGGGAACAGATTGCTGGCCTCTGTCCCAGAGTCAGACTTAATGATTTAGTAAATTGGGATGGGGTGGGACAATTTTAATTTCTTGCAGATTTGAAGCTAATGCTGTTAGTTAGTGGACAACTTAAACAAGCTTTCTAGGTGAGTTTTATGCATACAGAGGTATAAAAACCATTGATCTTATCCCAGCCAGAGATGTTCTGATAATAGTAAGAGGAAAAGTTAGACCACAAGAGAAGATCTGTGAACCTGGAGAAGGGTAGAGAGATAAGGAAAGGAGGAAAGAGATCAGGCCTATTTTGCTAACTTCTCTTGTCTTCATTTAACCTTTCAGGCGCAATTCAATGCTTATGGTCAACCTCTTGGCTGTCGCTGGTGGCTGCCTTATGGGGTTCTGCAAAATAGCGCAGTCGGTTGAAATGCTGATCCTGGGCCGATTGATTATTGGCCTCTTCTGCGGCCTCTGCACAGGCTTTTGTGCCCATGTACATTGGAGAGATCTCTCCCACTGCCCTACGGGGGGCCTTCGGCACTCTTAACCAGCTGGGCATCGTCATCGGGATCCTGGTAGCTCAGGTACTCTAGAACTCATGCTTTGAGTTTCAGTCATGGCTCATTAAATGAGGTGACATAGATAAGCTCAGGAATATCTGCATCTATTCAACTATATGGAAGTTGCAGGTACTTTTCTTATTGCAGCTCACAGACAGCTAAAGAAGCAGGAAGGGTAGAGAAAGAAACTTTGTTCCTGCTGTAAAAAAAATGGATGATTTGCTGAAATGTGTTTTTTCTGACTTTTTTTTTTAACCAACTTGTGGCTTATATAAAGAGTGAGCTTTACAGTATCATATTGATCTGGTTTCTAGATCTTCGGTCTGAAAGTCATCATGGGAACTGAAGAGCTTTGGCCCCTGCTCTTGGGCTTCACCATCATTCCAGCTGTCCTGCAAAGCACTGCCCTTCCATTTTGCCCCGAGAGCCCTAGATTTTTGCTCATTAACAGAAAGGAAGAGGAGAATGCTAAGGAGAGTGAGTATCCTTCACACTTTGACTGTAGGGATTTTAGGGTTGTGGTTTAGGGCATTGGATCTGTTTGGTCCTCTCCTTTCCTTGCCCCCTCAGAACCCAAATGGAGACTTGCCTGATTGCTCTCGAGTCAGAAACTTTCAACCCCTAAAGAGTGACGTGAGAAGCAGGTTAAGGCACAGATGCTAATTGATGAGCCATATCCAGAGCTCATCTCTGTGGCTTTTGTCCAGCTGTATTAGAGGGGAAATGAAGATGGAATAGCACCTAATCTTTATCTTTTGTTTGACCAGTCCTCCAACGATTGTGGGGCACCCAGGATGTGAGTCAGGACATCCAGGAGATGAAAGATGAGAGTGCTAGGATGGCACAAGAAAAGCAAGTCACTGTGCTGGAGCTCTTCAGATCGCGCAGCTACCGACAACCCATTATCATTTCCATCATGCTCCAGCTCTCCCAGCAGCTCTCTGGAATCAATGCTGTGAGTAGCTACTCTGTGGCCAGCGGGGGTTGCCCACTGCACTTAACTCACTAGAGGGGCTGAGCACAGGCAGTTGCTCACTTTGTTCCATCTACAGAGCCAGAGTCCCCCAGTGATGCTTGCCACACAGCAGCCACTCCAAAAATGTTGATTACCCAATTTTAACTTAGTTTTTTTTTATAAGATTTATTTTAGGGGCACCTGGGTGGCTCAGTCAGTTAATGATCTGCCTTCAGCTCAGGTCATGATCTCAGGGTCCTGGGATCGAGCCCCAAATCGGGTGCCCTGCTGAGCAGGGAGCCTGTTTCTCCATCTCCCTCTGCCTGCCTTTCACCCTGCTCATGTTCTCTCTCTCTAATAAATAAAATCGTAAAAAAGAAAAAGATTTATTTATTTTAGAGAGAGGGGCAGAGGGATAACGAACCTTGAGCAGACCCTGCACTAAGTGCAGAGTGCGACATGGGGCTCAATCTCACAACCCTGAGATTACCACCTGAGCCAAAACCAAGAGTAGGACACTTAACCAACTGCACCATCCAAATACCCCTGTTTTTATTTATTTACCATTTTTAAGTTTATTTAAGTCATCTCTGCACCCACTGTGGGGCTCAAACTCAGAACCCCAAGATCAAGAGCCAGCCAGGTGCCCCTGTTTTTATTTAAGATTCTATCTGCAGTATGTATTTTCCATGTGGAAAAAATTAAGAAAATAAATAATAAACGAAAAATTCATCACCTTTAGTCTCGAACTTCTAAACATTTGTCCTTTCAAACTTTTTTCAGTATATAGGACATTACAAATGTGGGACTCGATCCCAGAACTTCAGGATTATGCCCTGAGCCGAAGGGAGACCCAACCACTGAGCCACTCAGACGTCCAGAGTCTTATTTTAGAAAATACAAATATACATAGTTTCTATCCGAGGTTATATGTATTTGAAGAGTTGTTTCCTGAGAAGGTAAATCCCAGCGTAGACACAAAAAAGTCTGACAAATACAGCTATAGAGGCAAAAACACAGGATGAAATAATAAATTCCTGGCCCAAACCTTAGGGACTGAACCTAGATGATCTAGATCCTGTTCCCTTGTTACTTTGAGGTTTGAGTCCAATATTTTGACATCTGTTTAACTATGGTAGCTATAGCAACTTTACATTTCAGCACACTGACCAGTAAATAATTAAAAATAATATATACTAAAGAGTAGTTTATTTAATAGTATATGTTAAAAGGATAGCTGGTATCATTTGCTAGAACACTTGGAAGGGACCTAGAGCTAGGGATTCCAGCCCAAGTTCGGTTTCTAATTACATGAGCAGGCTGAGATTATTTCTCAATTTCTTCACTGTCAAATTAACATATTGGTGTGGTCTTATCACTGTTTTAGGGGTTAGGGGAATTGTCCATTGAGGAAGTATAATTGAGGAACTTGCTGCTGGTTGGCTTTGTTGGAAGAGCACATAACTCTTGATCTCAGGGTATGAGTTTGAGCCCCACATTGGGGGTAGAGATTACTAAAAACAAACCCAAAACTTTAAAATGAACCAAAAAAAGCTTAATTGAAAAAAATTAATGGGACTAAAACCTTTATATCTAAGTTAATAAAATAGAGGTAAGGAAGAGACTTCATGAGCAGAAGGAATGAGCATAGAAGAAAAAATGGAAATGAGTAGCTAGAATTGAAAAGAACTAAAAACAAAGATACAGAAGATAATTTATTTGCAGAAAAGATACTGTAATTGAACCAAAAAAAACCCGGAAAGGACTCCTTAACCTCCTGACACTTTTATTTTTTCTTTTTTCCCTCTCTTTTTTTAAGATTTTATTTATTCATGAGAGACAGAGAGAGAGAAAGGCAGAGACACAGGCAGAGGGAGAAGCAGGCTCCATGCAGGGAGCCCGATTCGGGACTGCATCCCAGGTCTCCAGGATCACGCCCTGAGCTGAAGGCAGACACCCAACCGCTGAGCCACCCAGGCATCCCCAACATTCTTCTTTTAACTGCAAATAACCACAAATTTTATTGTTTCATTATTATACACATAAGGGAAATAAATTAGTTCAGATTAATTGGTCCGTCACTTAGCATTGCATACTTGGTTTCCTTTCCTTTCTTTCTTTTTTTTTAAGATTCTACTTAATTATTCTTGAGGGACAGAAACAGAGGGAGAAGCAGGCTCCATGCAGGAAGCCCGACGTGGGACTCGATCCTGGGTCTCCAGCATCACGCCCCGGGCTGAAGGCAGGCATTAAACAGCTGAGCCACCCAGGGATCCCTCACTTTTACCCATTTCTAATAGCAGCCTCCCCCCAATGGCTAGAGAAATTTCAGTTGTTTCCTGTCCCATTGGACTATAAAGACCCATGTTTAGTCCAATTTTTACTCACTGAGTGACTGGTGAAATCGGGGTAGAGACAACAGAAGGTAAAAGTGGGTATTTTATTTGTACTTAAGCCATCCAAACTGGTAGTATTATCATGATACATTAAAATACAAGACATCTTTCTACAACTACTAGAATGAACAAATTAACAATTCTAGTAAATCACAAAGGGCAGAGGAAACCAATGAAGCATATTGTATATAGCTTAACCCTTCACCGTTAATGGAGGTGATGAAAACAAGACTCACAATCTCAGAAAATACAATTATCCTTTATCACCGGTCTTTGTATTTTTACTTCCTTTTCTTGATATAATCTACAGCCTAAAGATACCTGAATTAGTATTACATCTAGTTATCTATAGCCAGAAACATCTTATCATGTTGTCCATAGCAGCCAACGCTACTGAAACCTTTGACTCCAATCATATCCCCTCAATGGATACATTCAGCATAATAGGACACTATCGAGGCAGAGATATAGGACCCTAAAAGACAAATCCAATCAGAAATAATACTGCCCAAATTGAGATCGAATAATATACTTATCAGCACACATCTTCAGGTTGAATGTTCAGAGTAATTTGGGAAAAAATCCATTATTTGCTGAGTACTAAAATACTTAGTGGATTGCTGTAGGACACCATGGCTTTCCCCAGCAGTTTCTTTTTTTTAAATTTTTTTAAATTTTTATTTATTTATGATAGTCACAGAGACAGAGAGGCAGAGACACAGGCAGAGGGAGAAGCGGGCTCCATGCACCGGGAGCCCGACGTGGGATTCGATCCCGGGTCTCCAGGATCGCGCCCTGGGCCAAAGGCAGGCGCCAAACCGCTGCACCACCCAGGGATCCCTCCCCAGCAGTTTCGAAGATGGACTCCAGATCGCCCATAGAATTTTGCTGGAACTGGATCGGGGGCTGCAGCGATTCCTCTTCACAGTTGTGGAGCGGATTGTTCCAGGCCTGGTTGTTCCAGGCTTGGGGGCACCAGGTCTGACTGTTCCAGGAGTGGTTGCTCCAGGATTGGCTGTTCCAGGTCTGGCTGCTCCAATTGGGTTATTCCAGGACTGGCTGCTCCACAGTGGGAGGTTTCCAGAAGGGTTCGGCAGGTACCCCTGGCAACAGGGGTAGAAGCCTGCGTATTCCGTGGTGGCAGAGCTGTTCTGAAAGGGAATGGCGGGTTAACCCAAGAGCTCTAAGGAAAATCAGAATTGTGTGTGGGCCGCGTCTTAAGCTTTAGCAATGAGCAGAACGGGAAAGTCCTTGAAAAGAAAGCAGAAAAAAATAAAAGCTTCCTGTTACCTGAGTCACACTGTTGCTCTCCTTTGGCCAGTTGCTTTTCTGCCACCTCTTGCTTTTCATCCTCTGGTTCTGGAACCAGGTTTTAACCTACAAGGTAAAAGTGACAGGAAGACATGAAATACCAGTAGTGCGGATATGCTAGGGATCAAAGATTATTGTTGACATTGTTTCCCCCGACAACAGCTATCTAAAGCTCAGGAACAAGACAAACTTCTAGAGTCCTTCCTTTCATTCACGGAAACAATGTTCTAGGGATGGATGTCAACGCCCTTTTTCAATGAGCCTACCAGTTTAGAGAAGACACATTACATATCTATTCACTAGGAAGTTCACGTTTACTTTTCTTAAAGGATTTTATCTATTTATTCATTGGAGACACAGAGAATCAGAGACACAGGCAGGAGAAGCAAGCCCCACATGGAGAGCCTGATATGGGACTCTGATCCCAGGACCCCAGGGTCACACCCTGGGCCAGAGGCAGATGCTCAACCACTGAGCCACCCAGGTACCCCTAGAAGATTCACATTTAAATAAATGTCTAGGAGTGCCTGTGTGGCTCAATGGGTTAAGCGGCTGCCTTAGGCTTGGGTCATAATCTCAAGGTCCTGGTATCCAGCCCCATATCAGGCTCCCTGCTCAGCGGGAAGTCTGCTTCTCCTTTTCCTTGAATGTCCTGCTGTCTTTCTCAAATAAATAAAAATAAATAAATAAAATAAAAATTAAAAAATGAATGAATGAATGTCTACCCACCTCTTTATTCATACTTACTCACGCCCCTAGTTGGTTAAATGTACTTTGTGATTAAAAAACCTCCTCCATAAGCACACTTTTTTTTAAAGATTTTTAATTTATTTGTTCATGAGAGACACACACAGAGAGGCAGAGACACAGGCAGAGGGACAAGCAGGCTTCACGCACCAAGCTCGATGTGGGACTCGATCCTGAATCCTGGGATCACACCCTGAGCTGAAGGCAGACGCTGAGCCACCCAGGCATCCCCATAAGCACACTTCCATTTAATACAATAATAGTGGTAATTTTAACTCAAAAATTATGAAATATACCACTAGGACAACTATTGAGAAAATATCAAGTTTTGTAGGAGCACACAGTAAACTTAAACTTCCAAATGATTTACAATGATAAATGAGAAAATGAAATTAAGAAGGACCAGAAGTATGTATGTACAGGTGTACACACACACAATAACTTATGGAATGGAGGTCTTTGGGGATGCCTGGGTGGCTCAGCGATTGAGCATCTGCCTTTGGCTCAAGGTGTGATCCTGGAGTCCCAGGATCAGAGTCCCACATGGGGCCCTCCTGCGTGGAGCCTGCTTCTCCCTCTGCTTGTTTCTCTGCATCTTTCATGAATAGAGAAATAAAATCTTAAAAAAAGGAATGGAGGACTTTGTCTAAGTATGGCACCAGTGATAGAAAAACACCATAAAATATCTGACTGAATAATAACAATATGAAAAATAATTAACCTCATTAGTAATCATGCATACAGATAAAAGATTCCATTTTAATTTAATAAGCAGTGTTGGTTAAGGACTCTCCCTATCCCGGAAGATGAGATTATATAACTCCTTTGATCAAGGAGAAATTGGAAATATTTTTATGATCTTGGCATGTGCAATATAGAAAAACTAGTTAAGTAAATTATGGCATATTAAAGAGAACCTTTTTTTAAAGATTTTTATTTATTTATTCATGAGAGAACAGAGAGAGAGAGAGAGAGAGAGGCAGAGACACAGGCAGAGGGAAAAGCAGGCTCCATGCAGGGAGCCCAACGTGGGACCCGATCCCAGGACCCCAGGATCAGCCCTGGGCTGAAGGCAGGCACTTTAACTGCTGAGCCACCCAGGTGTCCCAAGAGAACTTTTTAAAAAAGATTTTGTTTATTTGACAGAGAAAGAGCACAAGCAGGGGCAGCGGCAGGCAGAGGGAGAAGCAGGCTTCCTGATGAGCAGGGAGCAATATGTGGGGCTCAGTCCCAGGACCCTGGCACCACGACCCTAGCCAAAGGCAGACGCTTAACCGACTGACCCACCCAGGTGCCCTAAAGAGAACATTAAAGATGATCGTGAAATGTTACAAAGATCTCACTTTCATCTTAAAATTATTTGTAGGGTGTGCACAGATAACAGGCTACACACGGATGTTAGTAACGCTCATCTGCAAATTAGCGTTTTTATTTCTCACTGCAAGGACAACAAAACCAACCCTACCTGCTTATAGCTGAGGTTCAGAATGTTGGAAAGTTCTTGCGTCTGCTGGAACGGAGGTATTTCTGTCTCTGAAATCGATCATTGAGAACATACAGCTGGGTCTGAGAGAACACAGTCCTCTCCTCCGTTTCTTGCCCTGGGTCGCATCTTCCTTCCTAGCTGTTCTCTCCTCTCCAGAGGTGGGTGGGAGTTTTACCCGCGGACTGGTGGAAGAATCGGGGCTGTCCTGAGTAAGCAGATCCATGGAGGAAGGAAGAGGAGAGACTGTTGGGAATAAAAAAGACACTTTTCTCTAAAACTTTTCAAATACTAAATTATCTTTGCAAATTTATTGTTTTCAAAGCATTTTTAAAGTCCTCACAACCTCAGAATTAGGGAGTAAGTAAAAATTTAACTCTTACATGACCCTGAACACTTTTTCTAGCCTTTGTGTGATGCCACTACAGTAAGTATACTAGTTGGCACCTTAAAAAAAAGTATACACACACACACACACACACACACACACATATATACACACCCAACATGGAGCTCAAACTCACATCAAGATGAAGAGTCATTTAAAAAAAAAATCAAGAGTCACATGGTCCACCAACTGAGCCAGCTAGGCACCCCTGGAACCTCTTTTGACAAAAGCTTTTTACTGCAAATTGATGCTCAAGAGCCTAGGCTGTGGCTACTCAGAAAGGTGGGAATGATCGCGGGACTCCCTTCGGTAAACGTAACCATCACCCACAGCAGATTCTGGGGACCCTTTAAAATCCAGTTTATTACTTACTTCCCAGTTCTAAACCCCAGGACTAGCAGGAACTGGGAATTCTGCTAGGCTTCTGTTTCAATACAGACTCTGCCCTTTACTAGCTCTGTCACCGCATTTCCTGAATTATTTGTCTCCCTCCCAGAGTTCCTTAAATTGAGTAAAGCAAAGTGGCTGAGAAAGTTGGCTAGCACAGGACCTGGCATATATGGACTTTCTAATTACTAATTAACTTCCTATATTGCCTACATTTGGTAGCCACGTAGTCTTAACTACAATGCAGTATTTATTCCCCATGCTCAAATTCAGCTCTCCCCTAGTCATGGAATAAAGTGACAGCCTTTATGGGGCAAGAATTCACAATTTTATGCTTTTTGTAAATAGATCGAGAAGGAAAGAAAGTGGTGGTAGACCAAGGACTACAGCGGGGCATCGCCTAAAAATCAGCTCTACAAACTAGCACTTGGCTCGCTAAGGAGATTGTGCCCACTTGCTTATTCCTACTTGCTCACACCCCAGGGAGGTCTCACGATCCAGCACTGTATTTTCAACATTAGAAATTATGAAAGGACATCAACATGAAGCTTAGGAAAACAGGGTAACATGTAAATAACTTTTAAGTCACTTTTTATCAGAAGCTTTTAAGAGATGATCTTTTTACCACAAAGCTTTTAAAAAATGGTAAAAGCTAGTTTTACATTTTCATTTTTAACGACTACTGCGGGATTGATTTACCAAAAAAGTGGTACTGCCTTACTTACCTCTACAGTGTCCTCAGCACATCCCCTCCCACATGTGGTTACCATTCAGAAGCCGAACTGGGTTTCAGATCTGGGCTCTAGCCACTTTGACTGTCAGAAGATTAAACCTTCTGGAATTATCTACCATAAAATGGGATGGACATTTCTTCGGGATGTTGGAGACTGGGCATAGCAGCCTCCCAGAAACTCAGAACCGCCCCCTAGTTAACACCCACAGAGCCAAACCAACCACTAGTGTCGTACAAAGGCAAGATATTTCAACCAGGTGACATCCATAACTAGCCACGCTACTTCTGGCACTCCCGGAAAGACAGACGAGTCAGAAAGGTGATGCTCCTCGCACCCCCACCTGCAGCGGTGATGTTAGGATTTCTGGCTTGGCAGTAGCATTAGTATTTAATAGTATTAGTACTAATACTAATTAGTAGTAATTAGTATTAGTATTTACGGTGACTGTGGGCTCAGCACTCCGTGACCACTCGGGCATCAGCTCATTTATCACAACCCATGGGCTTTCCACAGCGCCTGCGCACGCGAGCCCTCAAATACCCCGTCTACTATCGAAAGGCCAGCGTCCTGCGGCCCTCGTCTCTTGACTGACATCTGAGACAGGTGAAAGGACACGCCACCAAAGTACAACGGAGACAGGTGTCAGAGGTCTAATGGAGGACACCTGCTTAGATTAATGCGCTACAATTGCTCAGGAGGGAAACGAATGGCCCTGCCCCCCCCCATCACTTTTCCCTCCAGGAGATCAGCTTTTCGAGGAACTGACTTCCCCCTTACCGGTCTCCGCGCGGGGCGTCTCAGCAGAGGACATTGGCAAGGATGCAGGATTTTCTCGGGGCCCGTAAATCTCAGGCATTGGAGAAGGGTCCCTAGAGTTGGGTGCTTGGGGGCCAGGCGGGCATTGGGGCGGAGCTGGATCCGCACTCATGTCGCTGGGTTGAGGGTAGAGGGGGGGAAACAAAAACAAAGAGCGAGGTGGTAAGAAAGGCCCAGGCTTACGGCTCTAGGTGGAAGAGCGGAGAGAAGGACGAAGGCCTCCACATGTAAAGAGTAGGTGAAAGACAAGATGCAGTGGGGCACGGGCGACAGCGAGAGGCCGGCCCCTCGGCAGAAGGTGACTATTTTGGAGGCCCCGGATATTATAAGGAGGGCTCCGCCACCCTCAGCCCCACGCCCACACACACCCTTGCAAATTCGCAGTTAATCCTATCTGCCAGCCTCACCGAGGCCATTGTAATGGAAAAGGTCGCTGCCGGGTAGTCCAGACTGGGTGGGGAACGGGAAACCCTGGCCACAGAACCTCGAGAGAAAGCGAACCCCACAATTAAATATTTCTGGGTTCACCACGTTTCCATCCTTTAAAATCAAAGATACCCCTGAAGCCACCTCAGGTGATGGAAACTGATGCTAGAACAATTCATTTCTCCACTTCAGACCCCCTAGGGTCTCAAACTCGAGCTCGTGCTGACAGAAACTTCAACCAGGGAGCTGTTTTCCCCTTCGAGTCCCCCTACGGTCACAGTAAAAAGCATATGGTATGTTGCTAAGGTGTCAGTTGGTGTTAAAAACAGTACTTATTTTCAAGGCCCTCTTAATGTTTCTTAGCTTTCAGAGAGACAGGCAAGTCTTTCCCCCAGGACTGTTGTTCCTCTTTTAAAAAAAAAAGCAAAAGCCAGAGGAAAGGAGCTGTGGCCTGCTGATCAGCTGACTTTGGTGCCCTGAGGGTAATTACGCACAGGCCATCCATATGGAAAATTTTAAAGTAGTTTTTATATACACATTGCTGGATAGACTCTTGGCTCAGTTTCCTCATCTGTCCCTCTTCTGTATTGTGTAAAGAGTGAAGAAAATACAAGCTAAATCCTCATAATATTTGACACATCAGTGATCTATAATATTTGGAACATCAGATCTACACATTTCTGTTAGTAGAAATTCTATCTTTATCCTATGCTTGTGATCTCCAAGTTCTAAATTACCTTTTTGTCATGATTATTGTTGGGGCCAGGCGGGAAGAGAAACTCCTCAAGATGGCGGATACCCCAAAATGGCTGAGGTTCCTGCCACCACCTCCACCTGGGACGTCAATGGACCAATGACCTGCTGACAGCTTGACGCAGACCCTTAGACCTCTCCTTTGGACTTCCCCAACCGGACCCAATGCCCTTCAAACCCCAGAGGAGGAAGTCACCTTTGACTGACCGAACTGCAATCCTTCCTTTGCATATGAGCCAAACAATAGGAAACCGTTCTGCCTTACAACGTTACGTAAACCCCCTGCCATCTTGTCTTGGCGCGACTTCCCCGACTCACTCTTTCCCTCCGTGAGTCGTGGAACCTCGCCCGAGGGTGCCTGCAATAAAATCTGTTCTTGGACCCTCGCTTGCCTTGGCGGTCTCATTTCCATTTAGTTACTAAAAACCTAACAATTATTATTTTAATATAGTGAACAACATGATAGATTGGGAGCACCCCCTTCTTATTTTATCTGGGACATTCCTAGATGTAAAATAATGAAATGTATTGACCTGTAAACCAACTCAATTGAAAAGAGGGAGGTCAAGAAGAACATCCCCTTAGCAAATGATATTCCTGTAAATGGTCTTGCCAAAGCGTTTGGGACAGGTTCCTTTAAGAATATGTGTTGGGCCTCTTATCTCTTCTTCCTAAGCAAGCCTCTTCTGGCTTTTCTTCCTCCTCTGGTTCTTTTTTAAATGTTCTTTCTCTGGCCTGGCAATTCTGTCAATGTCGGGCAATCCCACTCCATCCCCACTCTCATTTTTTTTTTTTGTAGTTGTTTTTCCGTTTTGGTTTTTGTTTCCGGTATGCTTTCCAAAGGACCAGTGTTTAGAGTTAGGTTTCAGCCCTAAGACAGAGATGACTGTGTAGCTTCAATCTTCCTCCCCACTCTCAAATTCAATAATCGAGAAACCTAAGATTTCTTCCTCTTTTCCAATCTCCCCCTCCTAAAAGTATACCCTTAGCCAATTCCAATTATATATTTTTCAGAGATGCGAGTCTGACTAATCCCCCTGTGTACTTCACCACTTGGGTCTCCACCTAGAGCTGCTGCTTTGGTTGCACGAAAAGAGATTTTTTGTTCTTAAGGATGCCAATTCGTGAGCATAGGAGTATTGCCTGCACCAAAGCATGGAGATCAATTCTATGTAATCTTTTGTCTTCTCAGACCATCATTCTGGAAGGGAAAAGAGGAGGAACAGGAGTGTCAAGGAAAAGGTGGGTGGAAATGCAATGTGCTCAGGCAGACAGTCTCTGTCTCGTTACAGAGGAGGATTTCTTTCTTTCTTTCTTTCTTTCTTCTTTTTCTTTTTTTTAGATTTTATTTATTAATTCATGAGAGACACACACAGAGAGGCGGAGAGACACAGGCAGAGGGAGAAGCAGGCTCCATGCAGGGAGCCCGATGTGGGACTTGATCAGGGGACCCCAGGATCACAAAGGCAGACGCTCAACCACTGAGCCAGCCAGGCATCCCCAAAATAGGATTTCATTAAAAGGGGGAACATGGGATGCCTGGGTGACACAGCTGTTGGGCGTCTGCCTTCGGCTCAGGTCAGGATCCTGGTCTGGGATTGAGGCCCGCATCGGGCTCCATGTGAGAAGCCTGCTTCTCCCTCTGTCTATGTCTCTGCCTCTCCCTCTGTGTCTCTCATAAATAAATTAATTAAATAAAATAAATAAAAGGGGGAACATGAGTGATGGATGGGAACTGATTGTGGTAATCCTTCTGCAACATCTATGTGTATCAAACAATTATGTTGTGCACCTTACACTAATACAATGTCATATGTCAATTACATCTAAATAAAATTGGAGGAAAAAATTGGAGGAAATTTTTTAAATTTTAAATTTTTAAAAATGCAGAAAACTTGACTTCCTGGCTTTCAATTAGCACAGTTGGTAAATGAGTGCAGTCAAGGCCACCAAACACCTTAGTTTGCCCGCAGCTCTCTAAAGGGCAGGTACCAGAAGCTTTGTTCTTTGTTGATGGGGGTCTTTGCCTGAAAGCCTGGGCTGAATTCACCCCCATCCCCCACCCGTGTCTCTTGTATTTAGGGTCAGAGCCCTCTGCAGTGAAAGACCAAAGGGAAGGGGGCTGGTAGCTAGAAGGCAAACTCACTACATTCTTTGCCCAGGAAAGCAATTTGAATAAGGTTGAGAATGCTTGGGAAGGTGTCAGAGACCTTGAATTTGTGGGGTGGGCTGTGTGTTGGAGGAGGGGTGTGTTATAATGTGCTTAGAGTCCAGGGCTGTAAATGCAAAAGTGATTTTAGATTTTGTCTTCCTAGGAGCGTAATCCAGAAGGGGGAGGAAAAACAAGAGCTGAATATTAAAAATGAAAAATATTTTCACTTAAAGGTAAGAAATGCACCGCAGGCAATGTGATGTTTTAAGAGCACAGATGTCCCAACTTTGCATCAGAGTTTGGTGACCTGTCAGGATAAGGAGGAAGTGACAATCATTATAAGTATTTTTTAAAAGATTTGATTTATTTATTCATGAGAGACACACAGGGAGAGGCAGAGACACAGGCTGAGGAAGAAGCAGGCTCCCTGCAGGGAGCCCTAGGTGGGACTCGATCCCTGGACTTTGGATCATGACCTGAGCTGAAGGCAGATGCTCAACACTGAGCCACCCAGGTGTCCCTGTTTCTACTCAATTCTTGTGTACATTTCTGTTCCTGTTTCTCTCTTCTTTACATTGTTTCACTCTACCTAATAAACCCAGTGTATAATTGTTTCTTGTCCCCATATGTACAAACATATGTGTGTATATAGATATAGTTAGTGATTTTTAACACTTTATTGGCCAGGAAGTATTTATTTATTGCTTATTCAACTAATAGTTCATGAGTGCCTGTCATGTGCTGGAGAGAAAAATAATTAAACATCATCTCCACTTTTGAGGAGCTAACGGTTCAGTAGAGTAGATAAAAATACCCCAAAAGACAGTTATAATGTCGTGTGATGAGAAAAAGTAAAAAACCAAAAAGGAGGTATGCATTAGATGCTAATGAACAAATAAGGGGAGGTGTGGCCAGGGAGGGGAATCAGGAAAGACTTCTTGGAGGATGTTCTTTCCATTGAGGCAGAGATTGCAAAAAGGTTGAGAGCATAGGGAAGCAAATTCCAGAATATGAACACTTTTGGCAAAGGCAGTATCAGTGTCTTAGAGAAAATGACGGGTTATTGGAAAGTACAGTTGAGAGACCTAAGAGGTAATGAAGTGACCACAACTAGTGGTCAAAACAAAAACAAACTCGGGATGCCTGGGTGGCTCAGTGATTGAGCATCTATCTGCCTTCCGCTCAGGTAGTAGTCCCAGGATGAGTCCCTCATTGGGCTCCCTGTGAGGAGCCTGCTTCTCCCTCTGCCTGTGTCTCTGCCTCTCTCTGTGTCTCTCATGAATAAATAAAGAAAATCTTAAAAAAAACAAAACAGGGACATCTGGGTGGCTCAGCAGTTGAGCATTTATTTGCCTTTGGCTCAGGGCATGATCCTGAGATCTGGGATCAAGTCCCACATCAGGCTCCTTGTGGGAAGCCTGCTTCTCCCTCTGCCGGTGTCTCTGCCTCTGTCTGTATCTCTCATGAATAAATAAATAAAATCTTTTTTTAAATAAATAACATCTTAAAAAAAAAAAAGAAAGCAAAACAACCTTGTTAAGTTTTTAATTAAATCTCCTTTCCTCAGTTTATCCTCTATTGGTGTTGTACCTGCTAACTTAATGGTTCTCTCTCTGTCTCCTCTCTGGTTCTTCTCATCCCAGACATCAAAAAGTTAGAGTGTACCAAAGCTTAGTTCTCAAACCTCTTTTCTATCCACACTCACTATATTGGTGATTTTACCCTGTCTTCTTGACTTTCAATACCTTCTGTATGCTTTTGACCTTCAAGTGTACATCTTTAACTCAGACCTATTCTGCAAACTCAATCTCATATATTCAACTGCCTACTTAACCTCCCCACTTGGAATTCTAAAGGGCATCACAAAATTAATATTTCAAAAACCAAACTCCCAATATGCCTCCTATAGTCTTCTCTATCTCAGTGTACGACAATTTCATCTTTTTAGCTGCTCAGACCAAAACCTTAAAAACATCCTTGTTGACTGTTCTTCAAAATATATTTAGAATGCAATTGCTGGGGATCCCTGGGTGGCTCAGCGGTTTCGTGCCTGCCTTTGGCCCAGGGCGTGATCCTGGAGACCGGGGATCAAGTCCCACATCGGGCTCCCTGCAGGGAGCCTGCTTCTCCCTCTGCCTGCCTTTGCCTCTCTCTCTCTCTCTCTCCCTCTGTCTATCGTAAAAAAAAAAAAAAGAATGCAATTGCTTTTTTCTTTTGATTTTTGTGTCCTCCAGTGTTTCATTTTTCAATTGCTGGAGTGAGTTTTGATCATCACATGGACTAGTGCTTGGGAACCAGCAGAATAGCAAGAAATGGTTATTTCTTTTAAAGAACATTTATTTAATTTGTTATTGCCTGCATCCCAGGAGAGCTGGGGGCTTGAGATTACCTGTGTCCTCTAGCAAGTGTGCCAATCCAAGCTGCATTTGACTTTTTCTAGAATCTCCAAGGCTACCACTCTCTCTATCCCTTGGATTATTCCAATAGCCACCCAACTGGTTTCCGTGTTTGCATCCTAGCCTTCCCATAATCTAGTTTCAACATACCAGCCAGAATGAATTTTCATTAAGACACGTCATATCAAGGGCACCTGGGTGGCTCAGTCAATTAAGCATCTGCCTTCAGCTCTGGTCATGATCCCAGGAGGATGAAACCCCAAGTCCAAGTCTGCTCCCTGCTCAGCAGGGAGTCTCCTCCTCCCTCTGCCTCTGCCCTCCCCTCATGCACACTCACTTGTGCTCTTTCTCTTACTCTCCCAAATAAATGAAATCTTTAAAAAAGAAAAAAAAAGACAAGTTATATCAAGCTATTCCTTTACTCAAAATCCTCTTTCGGCATTCTCACATTTCAAGGAATAAGTTAAAGTCCTGGATTACGTGAACCCTTTTGTTGCTTTGTACTTAACCTCTGTCCTGTGACCTTGTGTTCTCCTCTGCCCACCATGACACTGACCTCCTTGCTGATTCTGGAACAAGCCAGGAAATCTCCAGATTCAGGGCTTTTGCTATCACTCTTATCTCTTGCTGATCTGTTCTTCCCCCAGAAATCTAAGCAGGTTGATCTCTTACCTCCTTTCCATCTCTAATATTACCTTCTCTCTCTCTCTTTTGTTTTTATTTTAATATTTACCCTTCATTTATTTATTTATTTTTAAGATTTTATTTATTTATTCATGAGAGACACACAGAGAGAGAGGCAGAGACACAGGCAGAGTGAGAAGTAGGCTCCACGCAGGAGCCTGATGTGGAACTTGATCCCGGACCCCAGGATCACACCCCAGGCCGAAGGCAGGCACTAAACCTCTGAGCCACCCAGGGTCCCCTAATATTACCTTCTCAGTAACATCTCCCACCCCCTATCATTTTCCTCTTGATTTTCCTTCATAACTTTTGTCACCATCGTGCATAGTATCTCTGTTACCTAGCATCCTCCTATCTATATCATCTATCATGTTCTATTTCCCTACAACTACAATACAAGCTAAGGGACACCTGGCAAGCTTAGAAGACTAAGGGTTATGGGTTCCTCCTAGTCAGAAGTTCTTGGGGTTATGGGTTCGAGCCCCACACTGGATGTAGAGATTACTAAAATAAATAATATACTTAAAATAATTGTTAAAGTATAAGCTATGTGATGGGGTTCCTGGCTGGCTCAGTCGGAAAAGCATGTAACTCTTCAACTCAGGGTTGTGAGTTCAAGCCTCACATTGGGTATAGAGATTACTTAAATAAATTAATTAAAACTTTTTTAAAGATTTTATTTATTTATTCATGAGAGACAGAGAGAGAGAGAGAGGCAGAGACACAAGCAGAGGGAGAAGCAGGCTCCATGCAGGGAGCCTGACTTGGGACTCGATCCCGGGTCTCTAGGATCATTCCCTGGCCTGAAGGCGGCGCTAAACTGCTGAGCCACCAGGCTGCCCTAATTAAAACGTTTTTTAAAAATCTTAAAAATAAAATAAATATAAGCTATGTGAGAGCAATTATTTTAATTTTTGCCGATTTTGTTCAGTGTGGTATCTCTAGCCCTAGAAGAGTATGGGCTATAGGCCACCATCATAATCATTGTTGGACCCTGGCTCACGGGTGCCAACGTGTCCCGGTGGACGCCCCAGAGACTCAGACCCCAGACAGGCAGATGCAGTCAGCAAGAGGGTTTATTGAACGTTTGCCCAAACGGGCTCTCCGCCTCCGAGGAGGAAAAGAGCCCCGATTAGCAATTACAGGGATCTTTTAAAGGCAAAAGGAAAGAACCCCCCTAAAGACAAAAGAACCGCGGGAGTCGCATAGCATCCAGGTTGATTTCACAGAGGGTCAACTTGAACCTATTCAGGGACATTCCAATCAGGGTGTGGGGGGAAATGGTTTTCTTACTGTGAACAGAATGCTTTTAGTTGCTAAAATTTCAGGAAGGCGCCTGGATGGGCTGCCTCTGGATTAGGGCTGGCCCTACTTACAAGGGGGGAGGTTTCTTCCTGAGCTTTGTTTGTATCGGGGCTATCTTGGTCTTCGTAGCCTTCTTTGAAATTGGCCCAGGCCCCATCCCCTGGTTTATTGTGGCCGAACTCTTCAGCCAAGGACCCCGCCCAGCTGCAATGGCAGTGGCTGGTTGTTCCAACTGGACCTCCAATTTTCTGGTTGGGCTGCTCTTTCCTTCTGCTGCAGTAAGTAAATTAAAACAAAACTAACCAAGTCCATTTTGAAACCAGCTCACCTAAGCCAACAGGTTTAAAATCTGGTTACTGACACCACAGGACTAGTTGTCAAGTGTTTCATGTTTGGTGTTTTCTTTAAGATTTTATTTATTTTAGAGAGAGCATGAGATCAAACGTGGAGGTAGGGGTAAGGGGGAGCAGAGAAAGAGGGAGAGAGAATTTCAAGGAGACACTGCACTGAACACAGCCTGACATGGGGCTCCATCTCCCGACCCTGAGATCAGGACCTGAGCTGAAACCAAGAGTCAGATAGATGCTCAACTGACTAAGCCACGCAGGCATCCCAGATATCAAATGTTTTAAACCAGATTTTCTTTCTTGTTCTCAATGACCTATAGAAAAAGGAATGGTTGTAAAAAAAGATTGAAGCAGGAAGGCAAAACTGGGAACTTTTATTTTTTTAAAGGAAACTCCACCTATAACATGGGGCTCAAACTCAAGAGCTAGAAATCAAGAGTTGCATGTTCTGCTGACAGAGGGAGCCAGGTACCCCAAAACTGGGAACATTTATTTATTTAATTTTTTAGAGGATTTTGTTTATTTATTCATGAAAGACACAGAGAGAGAGACAGAGACACAGGCAGAGGGAGAAGCAGGCTCCATGCAGGGAGCCCAATGTGGGACTCATCCCCCAACTCCAGGATCACACCCTGGGACGAAGGTGGGCACTAAACCACTGAGCAGTCCAGGCGTCCCAAAACTGGGAACTTTTGAAAGACCACTAGTCTGAGGTGATTACAAAGGCATAGTTCTGCCTAGATACAATGATCATGATAAGTCTCAAAGGATTCCAAACCAGCACTTAAAATCCACAATTTGGAGGATCCCTGGGTGGCACAGTGGTTTGGCGCTGCCTTTGGCCCAGGGCGCGATCCTGGAGACCCGGGATCGAGTCCCACGTTGGGCTCCCGGTGCATGGAGCCTGCTTCTTCCTCTGCCTATGTCTCTCTCTCTCTCCTTCTCTGTGACTATCATAAATAAAAAAAAATTAAAAATAAAATAAAATAAAATCCACAATTTGGATTAGCTAGTGTTAATGACTTCATGACCTTAAAGGCTCATTGAGATGGGAAGGAGAGGAGTTGGGCAATGAACAGATCTTACACTGATACTCCTTTTTCTGTATCTTTTCACTAGTTCTACTTAGGAGCCTATGTATTTATCATTTTCAATGGCTTCCTCATCGTCTTCTTGGTCTTCACCTTCTTCAAAGTCCCTGAGGTCCATGGCAGGACTTTTGAGGAAGTCACCCGAGCCTTCGAAGGGCAGGCGCAGGATGCCAACAGAGCGGAGAAGGGCCCCATTGTGGAGATGAACAGCATGCAGCCAGTGAAGGAGACCGCCACTGTCTAAGCCATGCCTCCTTCCCGCCTCCCTCCCAACATGGAAAAACCACCTCTCCCGGATGAGGGAGAAATCGAATCAGGTTGTAACCCAGGACTGTTTCTGGATGCTGCTACTTGATTCCTTTCCCTTCCCCACACACTCCATGAGCACTCAGAAGAACCCAATGCTGGAGTTAATTGTATCTTCAATCTTCACTAGGAGTGAGCTGGGATGTACGGTCACAGAATCTACAGGCCAGAGTAAAGGAGTTTGGATGATATTTTAAGTGTGACAAGATGTAATGGGAAGGCTTTAAGGGCAGTGACAGGATCTGTTTTGATTACTCTGGTTATTCAAGAATGCAGTATTATTTTTTAAATATTTTATGTATTTATGAGACAGAGAATGGCAGAGACATAAGCAAAGGGAGAAGCAGGTTCCGTGTAGGGAGTCTTATGTGGGACTCAATCCCAAGACCCTGGGATCACAACCTGAGCCGAAGGCAGACACTCAACCACTGAGCCACTCAGGTGCCCCTGGAGAATGAATTAAAAGATGGAAAAAGGGAGGGGCACCTGGGTGGCTCAGTTAATCCTCCTCCTTCTGCTCAGGTCGTGATCTCTGGGTCCTGGGATCCATACCTGTGTCTCCACCTCCCTGCTCACTGGGGAGTCTGGTTCTCCCTCTCCCACTCTTTCTCCAATCAATAAATAAAAGATGGAAAAAGGGAGCTAAGATCCCCACAATTATGGGGGTTATGGTGCAGTCACCAAGTTCTTTCAGGACATTCAGGGTTTCATTCTCATTCACTAACAGAGAAGTGTGAGGGACTGTTTGCCAATAAGGCAGTCTTTTTTTAATTTTTAAAGGTTTTATTTATTTTATTTATTTATTAATGAGAGGCAGAGACACAGGCAGAGGGAGAAGCAGGCTCCATGCAGGGAGCCCGATGTGGGGACCCGGGCCAAAAGCAGGCACTAAACCACTGAGCCACCCAGGGATCCCAATAAGGCAGTCTTTATGGAGCTCATGCCTGAGCTAAACAGAAATAAAAAGCCATTCAAATAGCTTAAGTGAAAGGAAATGTAGAGAATGTCAGAAATACATAAATGAAGGTGTGAAGGTGTTAATGAGTGAAGTGGGTGTGTTAAAGGTGTTAATGGATGAAGTGAAATGGGTGTTTTCTAGCTTCTCATTCATTATCAAAATCACTTTAAAGATATCTTAACGGTTACTCTACCTAAAAGGTTTGCTTCCCCAACTTCATCTCTTACTATTCTGCTCACAGAAGTCTAGCCCCACTGGCCATTATAGTTCTCAAGTTCATTATCAATAGCTTTTTTTATATTTGTCCCATTGTGCATAGAACATTTTGCCTAAAAAAAAAAAAAGAAAAGAACATTTTGCCTAAAAGATAAAAAAAGAACATTTTGCCTCAAAATTTTGTATGGCTCAGTCTATTTTGTAAGTTAGGTCTTAATTAACAACCACTGAAATATAAACTCAAAAGCAAATACCTTGTCTGTCTCACTGCTACTGTGAACACAGCGGAACATGGCTGGCTCCTATCAGAAGACAAAAACCACACAATGATTTAAACAGTGTAATATAGGGGATCCCTGGGTGGCGCAGCAGTTTAGTCCCTGCCTTTGGCTCAGGGCGTGATCCCGGGCTTGTGGGATCAAGTTCCACATCAGGCTCCCTGCATGGAGCCTGCTTCTCTCTCTGCCTCTCTGTGTCTCTCATGAATAAATAAATAAATCTTTTTAAAAAAATATTGTCAAACTGGGGCACCAGGCTGGCTTAGAAGAGCTTGTGACTCTCAATCTCACTGTTGTTGTTTTTTTTAATTTTTATTTATTTATGATAGTCACACACACACACAGAGAGAGAGAGAGAGAGAGAGAGAGAGAGAGAGAGGCAGAGACATAGGCAGAGGGAGAAGCAGGCTCCATGCACCGGGAGCCCTACGTGGGACTCGATCCCGTGTCTCTAGGATCACGCCCTGGGCCAAAGGCAGGCGCTAAACCGCTGCGCCACCCAGGGATCCTTCAATCTCAGTGTTGAATTTGAACCCCACATTAGATGTAGAGAATACTTGATTTTTTTAAGTAAAAAATAATAGGAGGGGCACCTGGCTGGCTCAGTCCGAGTGCGACTCTTAATCTGATCTTGGAGCTGTGAGTTCAAGCCCTACATTGGACGAAGAGCGTACTTTATTTTTTAAGAGACATAGGCAGAGGGAGAAGCAGGCTCCCTGTGGGGGTCCCAGTGCAGAACTCCGTCCCAGGGCCCCGGGATCATGACCTGAACCAAAGGCAGACACTCAACCACTGAGCCACCAGGTGCCCTGAGGAGTGTACTTCAAATATATATATTTATAATTAAAAAGAAAAAATAATAGCAGAACTCGATATGGTACCCTAGAGCTAAGGGAGAGTACCCAAGGAGAGACACACTTGGGAGAGAAGCCACCTCCCCAAGGCTGAGGTTCAGATGCTTAACCTAAAACTGAGCCACCCAGGCATCCCCTGAGGCTGTGGTGTGGGAAGCAAGGTCACTCCAGGTGAGCCACAGCTGGTGGCCAGATATGTGAGTGTACAGAGGAAGTCAGGGCACCAATATTGTGGGGTGGGGGGCGGTACTTGGGGCCTTTTGAGAAGTGATTGCCAGACATGGGCTGGGGCTGTGAGGAGATTATGGGAACTTGCATTCTGGGTGCATGGCTGAAGCAGGGTGCCACCAAATGTTCTGTTATCTATGGTGTAGCCACTGGAAATAGCAGGAAAACACCCTTCTTTCTACAGTATCTTTCCAGCACCATCTACTGAGAAAACTTCATTGGGCTTAACACTCTCAAGAAGAAATGATTTAGGGGCACCTTAGTGGCTTAGTCAGTTAAGCATCTGCCTTTTCTGGGGTCATGATCCCAGAGTCTTGGGATTGAGCCCTTGGTCCCTGCTCAGCAGGGAACCTGCTTCTCCCTCTCCCTCTGCTTGTGCACTCCTGTCTCTGTCAAAGAAAATCCTTTTTTTTTTTTTAGGGCACCTGGTTGGCTCAGTGTTTGTGCATCAATGACCTGCTGACAGCTTGACGCAGACCCTTAGACCTCTCCTTTGGACTTCCCCAACCGGACCCAATGCCCTTCAAACCCCAGAGGAGGAAGTCACCTTTGACTGACCGAACTGCAATCCTTCCTTTGCATATGAGCCAAACAATAGGAAACCGTTCTGCCTTACAACGTTACGTAAACCCCCTGCCATCTTGTCTTGGCGCGACTTCCCCGACTCACTCTTTCCCTCCGTGAGTCCTGGAACCTCGCCCGAGGGTGCCTGCAATAAAATCTGTTCTTGGACCCTCGCTTGCCTTGGCGGTCTCATTTCCATTTAGTTACTAAAAACCTAACAATTATTATTTTAATATAGTGAACAACATGATAGATTGGGAGCACCCCCTTCTTATTTTATCTGGGACATTCCTAGATGTAAAATAATGAAATGTATTGACCTGTAAACCAACTCAATTGAAAAGAGGGAGGTCATGAAGAACATCCCCTTAGCAAATGATATTCCTGTAAATGGTCTTGCCAAAGCGTTTGGGACAGGTTCCTTTAAGAATATGTGTTGGGGGGGATCCCTGGGTGGCGCAGCGGTTTAGCGCCTGCCTTTGGCCCAGGGCGCGATCCTGGAGACCCGGGATCGAATCCCACGTCGGGCTCCTGGTGCATGGAGCCTGCTTCTCCCTCTGCCTATGTCTCTGCTCTCTGTCTCTCGTCTCTCTCTCTCTCTCTGTGTGTGACTATCATATAAATAAAAAAAAAGACAGGTCATATCAAGGGCACCTGGGTGGCTCAGTCAATTAAGCATCTGCCTTCAGCTCTGGTCATGATCCCAGGAGGATGAAACCCCAAGTCCAAGTCTGCTCCCTGCTCAGCAGGGAGTCTCCTCCTCCCTCTGCCTCTGCCCTCCCCTCATGCACACTCACTTGTGCTCTTTCTCTTACTCTCTCAAATAAATGAAATCTTTAAAAAAGAAAAAAAAGACAAGTTATATCAAGCTATTCCTTTACTCAAAATCCTCTTTCGGCATTCTCACATTTCAAGGAATAAGTTAAAGTCCTGGATTACGTGAACCCTTTTGTTGCTTTGTACTTAACCTCTGTCCTGTGACCTTGTGTTCTCCTCTGCCCACCATGACACTGACCTCCTTGCTGATTCTGGAACAAGCCAGGAAATCTCCAGATTCAGGGCTTTTGCTATCACTCTTATCTCTTGCTGATCTGTTCTTCCCCCAGAAATCTAAGCAGGTTGATCTCTTACCTCCTTTCCATCTCTAATATTACCTTCTCTCTCTCTCTTTTGTTTTTAGTTTAATATTTACCCTTCATTTATTTATTTATTTTTAAGATTTTATTTATTTATTCATGAGAGACACAGAGAGAGAGGCAGAGACACAGGCAGAGTGAGAAGTAGGCTCCACGCAGGAGCCTGATGTGGAACTTGATCCCGGACCCCAGGATCACACCCCAGGCCGAAGGCAGGCACTAAACCTCTGAGCCACCCAGGGTCCCCTAATATTACCTTCTCAGTAACATCTCCCACCCCCTATCATTTTCCTCTTGATTTTCCTTCATATCTTTTGTCACCATCGTGCATAGTATCTCTGTTACCTAGCATCCACCTATCTATATCATCTATCATGTTCTATTTCCCTACAACTAAAATACAAGCTAAGGGACACCTGGCAAGCTTAGAAGACTAAGGGTTATGGGTTCCTCCTAGTCAGAAGATCTTGGGGTTATGGGTTCGAGCCCCACACTGGATGTAGAGATTACTAAAATAAATAATATACTTAAAATAATTGTTAAAGTATAAGCTATGTGATGGGGTTCCTGGCTGGCTCAGTCGGAAAAGCATGTAACTCTTCAACTCAGGGTTGTGAGTTCAAGCCTCACATTGGGTATAGAGATTACTTAAATAAATTAATTAAAACTTTTTTTTAAGATTTTATTTATTTATTCATGAGAGACAGAGAGAGAGAGAGGCAGAGACACAAGCAGAGGGAGAAGCAGGCTCCATGCAGG